AGTACTTTCACTTTCTGAATTCCAAAAGGTAATGTTTCTTCTTCTTGTGAAAAGAACAGTCGTGAAAAATTCCCTATTATTGAGTTTGCTTCAAGAAAAGGTGAATTTGGACTAATCAGGTTGTTTGCTGACGAACTTTGAGTCTTTTTTGAACCTCTTCGTGAACTAGAAAAGTGAAACACTTGTCAACAACTTGTTTGATATCCTTCTAGTCCTTATACATAGACTGTAATATGTTGAAACAAATAAAGAGCAATATTATTCGATCCAATATTCCACTAGCTTTATGTCCTACTTGTAAGAGATCATCGCTGTTAGAGAAACAACCTACCTTTGTAGTGCAAGTACTCTGAATATAACTAACAGGTATAAAGTATTTTATGGTGCAACAATCAGAATAGTTGACTCGTGTACAAGAGTACAAGTTGTGTTGTGATCCAACAACTCTGTTGAACTAGAAAGTTACTTTTACAAATTGCGTACATAAATACTTTTCTATAACTATAACACCAAATGATCAACTTTATTTCATTTCTCTGGAAAAAAATGAAAACAGGAGGAGAAAGCGTAAATCAATTTTTTTGTTCAATCAATAATCAAAGCACATGGCTGGGTAATTTGTTATGTTCTTAACGCTGTTGGTAGCTTTTCATAGTTCAACAAAGCAAATTTTCTAAAAAAATCAGGTCGAACAGTAGTTGCACCTGTTTGAACAAGAAGCCTCGGATTCGATGTTTTGAAATATTTTTTATCTGTCTGCAATACAAAAACAAATTTGATGTTTTCTATTTCAGCTCAAACAATTTTGGAATCACAAGTCCTATTGTCTTGGAAATAGCAAAAGTCTTTATACTTGTTTATAGTATTTTTTGACAATAGAAAAGTCAATAGTTTGGTTTCGGAATCATAGACAACTGTCAGTCTCAACAAATAAACAGGAATCTTTGAGCAAGCGGACGAGAAAAGGCAGCGTGTGATTCTTTCTTGAAATCAAGTCGTTTCAATCGAATAGCTTTGGAAGATTACGCTTTAATCTGTGAATTCATTTGAAACGGAAAAGAGATGATCAAGTCTTCTTCAGGATTTCTTCGTATTATGTGCGGGCAATCTAGCGTTGAGCGTTTAAACATGATAGCAGTTGCACTACAAATTGCAGAATAGTCTTTTATAGTCAATGCTACGATGTATTGTTTTGATTCAGTGCGACTTACTGTTATGACTATTTCTCGTAGCATTAAAGTTAGTGTTTTATTGGGTTTTGCAACGATGCTTTTTGATTGCCTACTATTTTTTGTTGATAGTTCATGTAGACAGAAGGACGTTATTCCTGGTGTCCATGCCATTTCTGTCTCTAGCTCTTTAGAGGTTTTGTGCCTTGTCGTTTCTTGATGGAAATAAACTTTGTGAGGCATTAAATATCAGAGGAATAATATTGTTTCGCTTCTTCTTCTGTCTCGGACTGGGACCTGTCTACATGCGTTGCTGAAATTTATCCTTCGAATATTCGATCACAGTGTGGTATGATGAACACATTTACCAGCTATTTGTTGAACTTTGAGTGTCATTATCTTGGCCAAATATGCTCAAGTCAATGCATGCCCAAGGAGCACTTTGGTTCCTTTGCTGATTTTACTTTGTTCCAGAGACAAAAGGTTTAGAAATAGACTCTATCCAGGACTTCGATATTTAATTAATGTCATTGACAAGAAAAATTTAAGTTTATTTGGGATAGAGTTAGCCTGTCACATTTATAGAAATGGGGAACTTTATGTTGTTTGTTTGTTTGCAGAAAATGAAAGAAGTTTTTGGGAAACTTGGAATAGAGGAGTTATAGAAAGGATATAGTGGAAAATAAGTGAACTTTGGCTTGGCTGAATTCCAACCCTACACGGGTCTTTCAAAACAAAGAAGAGAACCGAATCTCAAGTGATTGAATGAAAGATGAAGTCTCAAGCTTAGTTAACGTTCAATTCACAGGAACTAAGCGAAACAAGTTATTCCTGTCAATGTTGGGTTGTCCGTTAACAAATTCAGACCAGTTATATCTAAAGTTTCTCCCTCTGAAAGAATTCAACAGTGTAAGTGAAACAACAGAGAGTCTGAATCTGGTTGTCCCTTTTGAGTTTAGGAAATAACTCTCTTTCATAACAGTCTCTGTCATATATACACAAGTTAGTCAAAAGGAAATAAACAAGTTTCTCTTTATAAAGTCGTCTACATAACTACCATATTCCGTGGAAAGTTAAAGGACTATGTGCTAAAGTTTATGTTTGGAGTCCAATATCCGAAATATCCCAATATCAACGAAGTTTTCCTTCAATAATATTCATATAACTTTTACTTGGAGGCGTCAATTAAGATAAAACTGTTGTTCAAAATAAACTCACCTGAAGTTCAAAAAAATTCGCTCCCCACATTTTTGGCGCAGGAAAAACTTTTTCTCTGCGGAGTAGTGGGAACGCTGTTTCCCACTACACTGAACATTTGGATGATTTTAATTTTATTGAAAGATAATGTTTTCATAAATTGCTTGATCGATTGATATTATGAGAATCTTAATTGGCGGAAAAACTAAATTCAACTATTTTTTAGATGCTGTAATACACTATTTATACGTAAAGACTGGGCCACAACAGAAGAGGTGACTATTAGTTGTTCCCCATTTAAACTCATCTACAAAGATACTTACAAATTTTGGAGATAAACTTCCAATTCTATTATTATTTAGGTGCAACACTTTACTGCAAATGCTGAACAACACTCGGTTTTATTTCCCAGTTGGTTTCTTCGTTTTGGCACAAGAAAAGGATAGTTGTTTGAAAATGTTCTTGTTCAACCGGACCATCATTGACGGAGCTCGGAAGCTTACACAAGTCAACGAGAAAGGCAAACTCACCTAATAAAGTTTTTCGATCCAAAGAAAATTGCTGGAAGAACTGTTTTGATACGTTGACTTCGCGGTTGGTTGTACACCGATTTGTTAAAACGAAGCCAGCTGGCTGTTCAATTCCACGCCTGAACTCAAAGTTTTCACTACTTGTGAACTTGATGCTGAAGTAATTCCTTTAAAGGAACATATAGAGGAAATTTTTTGTCTTCTTTGAATAGTTCTTTTAAAATAAGTTGCACAAGCTCCCATTGTCTCGTTTGACTGAACTGTGTCGGAAACAGCGTTTACTGTTCCTCTTTATCACAACGAACAATGTACAATTGACAGGTGCTCGGCTGTGGAGACTTGGCAAGAGTAGTTTATATCGTATGAAACAATTCGAGTAGATTTGGAAGTTGACGAGCTATTCCGACGTGGTACTCGCCCATATATTATAAAGTGACGTCTCACAGTTGGAAAAAAAACTGAGAAATATACTTGAAACTTTGGATGATATCAGGAGTAATTGCTGTAACAAACGGTTCTAACATAGCAAATAGTAACGAAACACTTGTACAGTACTAATTATGAACTTGTCACGCTTTGTGAAAGAGATATAGAATTGATGATTGACAAAGTATCGGATGGATTGAAGAATGCATTTGTTGCTTCTAATAATTCCATTTTTGAAAACTTTTGACTTGATTTACTTGATAAAGTCCGTAGTAGTTTTTTGAGTCGGCAATAAACTGTGGATCTTCAACGCAACCTTTCATTGTTTCATTTATAAAGCAGTAAACTTGTCGTGCGTTTCAAATTCGTTTATGTCTTACTTGAATTGTCCTTTCAAAAACCAGGCAGTCTGCCTCGAAAATAGTCTGTTGGTTGGATAACAAATCTGGTTCATGAAAAATTCATACTACTTATCCTACATAGCATTGTATTGCATAATATGTTCTGAACATCATTGGTGCTGAAATTAGCGATACATGTCATTATTCACTATGTCACTTTCAAATTGTACAAAATCCAAAAAAAGCGTTGAATCTCGTTCTTGTTTTACTATTGCATTTGTGATGATTCGCCTTCAGAGATTCTTTCTATTGAAATAAAGCAGCGTTGGAAAACCAGATAATGAGCACTTTTCATAGTGTTTTTTTGAAGGTATATTTAATATGGTTTTAGTTGCGTTATTATAGAAAGATAGATATGCCAGTCAATAGCTATATTTTAATGATTCACAAGCTCGTCGAAATATAAGTTGCCAGTTTGAGTCGATATAATTTTTTATATTATAGAATTCAAAAAATATCAATTGTGGTTGTAAGATTGTCTATTTTCTATATCTCTATGAAAGAAATGTATGGTTTTAGCAATTCAATGAATATCCTTTGACGGTGCAGTCATATAAAAACCAAATTTGAATAGAAATCATGTAAAAGTTTTGAACTCTTAAAAGGAAACAATTTATATAGAAGCGTGTTGCGAGTTGACCTTTAACAGTTGTAGCTTGTGAGGAAACAGTCTTGACTGAACACCAATTATGATTATTTGATACTACGAATAGAGAATACAAAGCAAACCATTTAACTATTTGTATAGAAAAGATGCTACAATAAAGGACAAGCGAATATGAATAACACTTTTAGATGAAATTGTAGACTAATGCTTCAGAAATGTACGACAACTTCATCTCCTGAAGAAAGCAACGTGGTTGATTGTTTCATCCGTATCAATTCGTTTTGCATTTACAGAAAGGATAAGGCATACATGCCATTTCGTCACTATTACTTTAACGACAACTTAAATGTCCCATTATCACGAAATATTGGATTCCATTTCTGAACATTCCCAATTCTAAAGGACTAAATGATTGTTGTAGGTAATAATTTTATTCTATGATTTGAACAAGTGCTAAACAAGTTATTCTTTGTGAAAATTTTTCAAATGGCCAGCGACCTTTTGAAAAACATTATCAAAGCTATCTTTAAAACACTATTCGGCGTTTAAGTTTTGTGCTTTAAGATTTCATCTTCACTTGCTATTCATGACTTGAGCCCAATTTTTAAATGGTTTGAAAATATTTCAACCCAATTGCTTTTTCTCTCTTTTCTTATGATATTCAATTTCTATAGGCTGATTATGCCACGGTTCATCTCTTCCAGAACATTTTTATTTAGTTCGTACAAGTTTGCCACAGGTTTCGTAAGATGTATGCTGTAGTATTCTGTTGAAGATCGTCTTGTTACCGAACAGGAGCTTGTCCGACTTGGGAATTAGCCTGTTCATCTGGAGGCTTCAAATCTTTCAAATTCTCTATCTCTGCTTGTTTACTTTATACAATTTCATTCTTCAAGCGAAAGCCCTTCGCTTGACATAATGCCTATATGAGACAATTGTTTACAATTCTGTACATCAGACAAGTTATCATCATCTGATTGATGAAGTTGACCGCAAGGCGGTTCAATATTATCTTCCCCTGTCACGACCAAGTTTGCAAGTTAGTTTCTTGCTATTGTTCCAGGTGGTTCCATTTTGGCAATCTAAGGCTAGCTCAAACCAACTCAATAATTTACTTTACTTTAGATTTGCTTACAACATTGTCTATCATTCGACTACTTTTTCAATTATTCGACAAGTTCATAACAACAGAAAATCAAGTCAATGTCTAAACTCTTTCCTGGACTATCAAGTAAGACGGTCTTTTTCCTTGAAAAAGTTTGGTTTGAGTTCTCTCCGTATCATGCGAATCATTAGCACAGCACTTTTGTTTATGAAATTTGTGTAATCAATGGAAGTTGTCTTCATTCTCACAACTTTAGTAGCAAGGATCATTTACATCAAATAGATTGAAGAAAAATAACTTCACTTTCTCATTACTCTCGACGGTTTGACCACAACTTTAGAATTAAGTCCTAATAATGCTTATTTCTACTTTGAGAAAATCTTTCGAAAAGGCAGAAAATTCTGACATGAGAGTGACAAGATACACTCATCATGTGCAATGCCACGGTAGATTGTGTAAGAATAAAATAAAAGAGGTATTGCATTTGCATTCATTGTTTCAAAATCAATGTAACTTTTCTCCAAAATAAACTTGATCATGGATCAATGCAAGTGAACAAAAAAGTCGTAAAGGTTATCCGGATATGCCAACCATGTCAGTGCATAACAACTGTTCTTTCATCTCTCCAAGCTGATACTATCCGAATCTTTTCATAATTCCGTCCCGAGTCAAATGCAACCTTAAATATCAAATATTTTCCTGGGTTTTACCCTTTGACAAACTTCTTTTGGTTCCAGTCCATTAAACAAAATAATGGAAGGGAATAGCAAATTAGAGTCTATTATCATCGTCTTCATACAAATTATTTTGCCAAAGCTCAACTACAACTAGTTGCTCGTTTACTTACAAGGAAAGACATTCAATTAACAACGAAGAACTTTCAAAAATCACGAGACTTATATCAAGTTTTACAAAGTATTTGTGGATACTTTTAAACCTTTGCTCTCTCTGTCGTAGTAAAAAATGTAACTCCTCTCAAAGAATTCCACTACTCAAACGTCCAACACTTAACACCAAACACGAAATCATTGTCTATGTCCTATAGAGTTACTCGTTTGAACTTCATCTGAGGTTAACTGCTTTCATTAGTGTAGTATATTATACGTGGTTTTTCAGAACATCCTCAAGTCTGAAGCAGCCAGAATTTTAATGAACTTTCTGATAAGCTTTTATTGGTAAAATTCCTGCGACTGTATAGGAAACAACCAAGTCAAACAGCAGTCTCCCTCTAACTTCAATAGTGAAGAAATATCAGATAAGAAGGATTGTTTTTTCTCAGTCGGATGATTTTTCAGCTTTCTTCTGCAAGATCCATCCTAGCTTATATTTGAATTCTTGTCTTGAGGCCAGTACGTTCGAATGTCCTTTTCTCTTATGCTTGACTAAGAACCACTACTCTTAACAGGTGCACGCATTATTCAACAAATATTGACGATCCAAATCTACAAGGTTCCACGAAGAAACTCTCAATCGCACTAGCAAAAACTTCTTGACAGTAGCCGTCGATGAGCTAATCTTAAAAGGAGCACAAAGTTCAAGGTCGATTCAGTAGAATTTGCCGATGGAAAGAAGTTACAGTTCTTCACATATGAAGAAGTAAACTTTTCTTGCAAAGAAATATTGAAGACTGAACCTCATAACCAAAAGCTACTGGGCAGTTGACGACTTACGTTGTGTAGGTAAGAGAGTTTGTTTAAGAATTCAACAAGGTGGACCACAGTTGGTGTAATATATTTATTGACATCTTTATGGTCTCTTGACGAGTTGTATCCACTTTTTGGTACCTTTGTCTATTCATAGTACATAGTCAATTTGGTTGAAGCTCGTTTTCTTGACATAGACTATTGGTTTTTCAAGTCCATTTCAGTTGATTTGAACCTTCACTTTTCATTTTTCGTGTAATAGAACGACCAACTTTATGTTTAGTATCGAGTCCTATAAAAGATATCAGATAATACCAATGAATCAAGAAAGTTGCTGTTGAAAATCCATCCGTTTTGGGTGTTGTTCAATGACACAAGAATTTGTGGAAACCTTAAGAACTTTTGAGGAAGCATTGAAGGACTCTAACAATGAAGCTAAGCTTTTCCAAACTTCGAAGAGCCTACAAGAGTTTCTATGTAAACTTAAACCGGAAGGAGGCATATCGGAGTCCGAAATTTGTAGAAAGCTTGCCAAGGAATTGTTTGCTTTTTTGTCCGGTTTAGAAAGCGAATTGCGTACAGTCCATAAAGCGCTGTTTCGAACCTTATCGGACTTGCTTGACTTTTGTGGAGTCTCACTGGTTGATGAGCTTCTTATGGATGTGAGTGACTCCTTGAAGGGTGCCATTTCTACTTGGAAAATATTCTTGATTGAAACCGACGAAGATTTGGAGCTTTTAAGAAGAAAGATTTTATCGTATTGTTCCAAAGTATCCTCATATTGCTTGGTTGCTTTGAAAGGCTCAAGGGAGCAACAACAACAATTGTTAAAGGAGCTGACCAGTGGAAAAGCTATTCATCGTATTAATAAGCCCCTCAGAAAGCCCTTTCTTCCACAACTGCAAGTAAAGTATTCGTCGAAAAGTGACAATAGACTCTTGAAAGAGAGTAAAGGCTCCACAAAAGAGTTTCAAGTTTTCGAGTTTCAGCGCCTGGCAGTTACTCAGACTGCCAGGAGTATATATCGGATATTTTCGGAACTTAAGTCTTATGAGAAATTTACAATTGAAAACATCTTTTCGTTTCTTAACTTGTCAGCGTCTGATTTTTGTGATCAACCAGTTCTTTTTAATATATATGAGTGTCTCGTAAGCAATACAGATGTGTTGAAACTTGAAGTGTCACTTCCAACACATATAATTTCTTACAGCAACAATACAGCAACAGTTGTGGAATGTCTGAGTCGACTTATATTGCGAGCTATGAAAAAGTCTCGAGTTTCTTGCAAAGAATATCATCAAAAGTGGCTGCGTTTATATGCCAACTGCATTTTTGAAAGGAATAAGGACTCTTTTATGAATGTTATAAAAGGGAATGAACTGAGTTCTGGAGAGATCTTAAGTCAACTGATTTATGGAAAATGTAGCATTCAGTTACCTTCAATCGTTTGCGAAATAGAAATGTTGGAAGATGTTGACAATCTGAATATTTATATTGAACATTTTTGTCATCTGATGTGTAATTATTTATCATCGAACAAAATAGATCTGACAGTCTTGCATCACTTATTGCTTCTGGGCTTTGTAAAGGATGCCGAAACCCAAAGGCGGACAACATTTAAGAAGAATTTTCGTGATCAGTTGCATTCTCAGCTTTATTGTTTTGAACAATTTCTAAAGACATGGCAATTGGGTTTTCTTCATAGTCTTCCACAACAATCCTGCTTAACAATATTTCATGATATCGCACGTTTGGACAGTAAGATCTTCGATGTGGAAGGTCACTCTTCATTAGTTATAGAACGTCTGGCTCTTTTACTTGGAAGCTGTGCGTCAATTGTTAGGTTGCTTGAGATAGACTCAAATAACAAAGCCTTGTCAGAACTGCGAACTCAAATCACTCAAAAATGTTTGGTTTTTAGATCTGCCAATCTACGCTACTCTTCTTGTAACTATTTAGCTTCTTGTGGAGCTTTAGATTCTGGTTTGAGAGAGTCACTGATAACTGAGTTATTGCAACTTTTGAAGATTTCTGACTTGGAGTTATATTCGCCTAGTCACAAGGTTTGTCTCTATTATTTTTTGTATTTGAAGATACTTAAAATTTACAAAGAAACTTTCTTCACTGGAATTTCGACAATTATACGGTTCATTACTATCTCGTATATTAGGTTATTCAGCAGGAATTTCCTGTCTATTACTGCAAGAGAAAGATGAACAACTCGGTCTCCCAGGTGGACTTTTAGGTCAAATCTTTTCCGATGCCGTCGGTCTCTTAAGGTTTGTCTTTGGCTTAAATGTTTGTTTTGAATGACTGTTGACTTTATCTTTCAAACAGGCCCCACATTCTTTCGAAAGTTTCTCTACCTCAAACGGCAGAATCTATTCGACGTCGCGCTGGTTGGATACTCATTGCATCTTTAATGAAAACCAGAGTTGCGCGATTTCTGGAGTCATCCCACCTCACTAGATTATTGTATTTTTGGCAGACTGAATTATCGTTTTTGAGAAACGTCGTTGAAGTGAACAAAACTCGTCAGTTAGCTATCAGTTCACAAATTAATCCACAAGTCGAGTTTTCTGCACAAGAAGCTTCATTAGCTGCTGCAAGGTTAGCATCATTGGGAGCTCTGTATTACCTCTTGGGAGCCATTGAACCCAGAGAACGTCCTGCAAATTTTGATAGTATCATTTCAGTACTAATAAGTGCATGTGCTGTTCGTGTGGCAGAAGTTTGGCAAGCCCTGCAAAGAGATGAAAATTCCTCTAGGAGTACCGGGAGTAATATGCGTCGACTGTTTTCTCTTTGTGAAGTGTTTTGGTTGTCGAGGTATGTTCTCTTATTCTCTTGAATTGGTATTTTTGATAAAAGACTGAAATGGAACAAAAAGATGTGGTTTGTACCTTCATCACAACAAATTGTCTGTAGATACATGCCTTCGTGTCTGTCTAGCTATTGTGCATTCTCATGGAAGGAAAGTGACTCCTGAAATTGTCCAAGTTTCGGAAGAATGCAATGACTACTTTCAATTGATCTCCTTTTTCGGATCACTTGGTGCTGAGTTACCAAGTCAGTTCGCTCAACTTGAAACTGCAATAGATTGTTCAGCCACGCTTCTAACAGCTGAAGAAGGGAAACATCCAGTTTGGATCGAATTAAGCTTCCCAATATCCACAAAAGATTATATTCTTTCTCCCTTGATTGGATCGAAATTTGGATATAAATATGCTTCAGAATTTCGTAATCAAAAGCAGGCATTAGATGGCTGGTGTTTGTCTCGTCTTCAGGTGAGAATAAACTCTAAAGAAGTATCAATATTTTCAAGAAATTGTTAGGCATCACTTTGGGTGGCATTAGATGTTTCTCTCTACCAGAGACTTGAAGAACTACAGATCAGTCCATGGCATGTTTGCTTGGAACAGCAGGAAATATCGGCGACTCTATTTTATATTTCTAATGCATTTGTGGAGTTGGGGAAGAAGGGTGACACTCAATTAAGACATGACTTGATAATGAACCTATGTCGGTTATCTGAAGAAAAAGTATGTCATCCATTTTTTTCCAAATGAACTATTTTAGAAGTGTAATGAATGTAGGCCAATGAATCCAGCTCTGCTCCTTGCTTATATGCAATTTGGCGTCAGTGTATATGCGTGATGTCTTTATCTCTGCTTTGTTCGGATGAAAATGTTCCTGTTGATGAAGCTGATAGAATACTTGTTAAAGATGCCATCTATAATGTTTTAGATTCTCCTGACGTGAATTCTTCGTTTGCAGGTGTCTTCGCCGCGATGGAGGCCGCGTCACTTTTTGCAAATGAACCAAACAAATTTTTAAGCAAAATTTTTAATATATGGAAATGTGGAATGGAAGGTTTTTCATTTTCACATATCCGAGTTGCAGGTTTGATTGCAGTCTTTCATTTCTATCCATAGTACTGAATATTTCTAGTTTATCGATGGATGGATTTGTTTTCTGCCAGCTTCTGGCATGCTTATCACTTTATGGAAGGGGATTGTCTACTTTCCATATGTACTTTGAAAATATTGAATGAGTGCGTGAAAAAATGGTTTCCAACATGGCTTAACGACAATGACAACGAGATGTTGACAATCTGCGAAATTATCCTTTGGAATTGTGCAAATTGGAACTGCACCATTTTGAACTCTCTCATATTGGATATTTGTTCTTGGATATGGAATTGGATGGAAACGGTACAATTGTTTTCAAATTATCTTCAACTCCGTTCTGATTCATTTTCTTTTAGGATGCCTCGCATGATACGAATCAAAAGAATTTAGTTCGTAGCGTCATTCCTCTGAATAATGAAATATCAATTGTCGCCAATATTCTAACACTATTGGAGTCTTTATGTCGAGGAACACAGACAGGCCATGGTTTTATTTTGAAGCATGCCATTCGGACACTTTCCTTGATGTGTGAGAGGATGGATTCCGAGCATCTTTTGCGAATTTTTCCTTCACTTCCACACTTATTAATTGAGATAATGGACCTCTACGATGACTATGCATTAGAGACCAATTCCCTCCTAAAGAAATTGGCTTTAGGAGGCCTCGGTGACTTCTGGTTTACTATATTCTTCACATCATTTCGAGGTGGTTCGAAACAATTGATTTCTTTGGAACAAAAAGGTGCTGAGAAAAGAAATGAAAATGATACTCGCCTTGAAAATGCTTTGGAAAGTGGTTTGTTTAGTGACATTGATGAAATGAAGTTTTGGCAGTTGAAAGGACGAACAAGAGATTTGCTGATGGACTCGGCTTGTTATATATTAAAGGAAGGCAATGCTCCCTTAAATTTCCTTCTTTCCAATTCAATTCAACTTATTTTGGCTTCTTGCCAAAGTTTAAGGATGGCCTCTATTATTGAAGCGTTTCAGTTAGTTCGAGTTATGAGAGAGAAATTAACCACCGGGAGCGAGAATCCCTCTCAAGGTGCGTTGTTGCAGCTCTTCTCCAGTATTCGTTCCATTCTGAATCCTCAGCATCACCCAATGATTGTTGTGGCAGCAGCGCAAGCTGCCGTGGAAATAAGTTTATGGAATCCATCTGTCAACGAGTAAGTTACAGTATTTGTAAAACCATATTTTGATCTGTTGATGGCCTTGTAGTGAATTGATAGAAATCATGGTTCCTCAAGAAAGAAGGAATCAGTTGCCCAATTATTGGCAATATGAACGTTGGTCGGAACCAGTGGGAGTAGTAACAATGTTTGCGATGCTTCATTTTGCAAGTGAATGGTATTACAATCGGAGCTTATCCAATTTGTCAAATTTTCCTTTTCATTCTTGTATCGTCCTACGTCCATATGTATTGGCTGTAATCGGAGACTTTTCATTTGTTCTTAATGGACATTCGTGGATGCTTGAGAAATGGGGTTGTTCTATAGGTAGTGATGGAGTCTATCGAGATAAGTTATCCGAAGTATTTTGGAAACATGGAACAAGTTTTATTCGTAATATGATTATGGTCCTAAAGCTTAGTTTGTTAGAGGGCAACGATGAGTTCCGAGTTTCCTGGAGACAAAGAAATTCTCCTGGAGTCCAAATAGCAGAAAAGATTCAAGATTTGGAGGAAAAGAAAGATTTGGTTGTTTCTATTCATTTGGCATGGCTAAGACACCTTACAAATGAGTGTCCTGCATCTCAAGAAACCCAACAGTTTATCAACTGCTTTGAGAGTAATTTGATGCTAGGCTTTCTTTACAACGAAGGAGAACATTCTTTTTTGGATATTGTTTGGCATTACTTGGTTGATAGGGCACCCCGTATTGCGTTGCATGTGTTTCATTCTGTGATACGTTCTGTATGTGATGAGAATATTCTGGTTCAGGTAAGATGAAAACGTTTGGTAAGGTTTTGATACATTACCTTTATTTAGATAGAAAGGCGAATCGTGAACTCATTTTGTTGGTTATCTACCTCATGCTATACAATTTTATTTGATGACAGTGAATGTGTATTGGGATCACAGAGCTTCTTGAGATATAAGATTCTTATGTTGCCTATTCAAATTGCAGATGATAGGAAATTTTCTGAATTCTATCATTTACGAGACTGTATTCTGCAAATGTTCTTAATGGGGACTTGTGGTTATTTTCATTGTCTTTCATACTATCTTCATACTCACAACATGGCGTTGGATAATGATATTGATGAGGATGTTTGGCTTGCTGAAGTGGATAAGGAACAGTTAGCCAAGTTCTGGAAGCAGAGCTTTCAACTAGTCTCCAAATATGTCGTTCCTGTTGTTGCCAATCATTCATTTCAGTATTGTGTAGAAAAACTGCTAAGTTTGAGACTCATATCATCTCGTTTGAAGGCACAGCTAGTGGAGAAATTAGTTGTTTTATTATATTGTATGATTGAATACCTTCCCTTAGAAACTAGCCTCGTGAAATCAGCGTTATCGCAGATTTGCATCGGTTTGGACGACTTGAATGTGGTAAGTTACAACTGGTTGACTTTGGTAATTTTGCCTGGTATAGAAGTGTTTTCAAACCATTGTCCCGAATTGTTGGCTTTCTTGTGGAGAGTTGGATGGACATATTGGAATAGCGTTTCGTATTCTGTTGGTGTTGAGGATGACAAAGAAACGAAAATTGCATGGATGCGTATTTACATACATCTGATGGCTTCATCAAACATAGATTCTCAGCAAGTTGGTACAAGTAACCAGAAAGGTTATTTCGAGTCGTTGATTATACAAATTGCCATCGATATGATATTAACTTCTGCCTATGAAGAAAATGATGAAAAAATGCTCGCTTTGCAAAGTGACTTGTTGAAGCTAGCAAAGAAGAATGAAACAGTGTTTCGTCGAATAATACAGTCATTACAACAAGAGGACCGATTAGCTTTACAAAAAATTCTAAAACATGCTACTAAATAATAACATTTGTTTGAGCAATTTTTCAACTAGTAAATAGATTCAAACTAGGTTACTTTTGAGAAGACTTGTTGTTTGAGCTGTTGATTCTCCATCTTGAGTTTTGCATTTTCGTTTCGAAGTTCGTTCAACTGCAATTGCAAATCCATCATTTGTCGCTCCAATTGCACGTTTCGATTGGTCAAAGTGGCTGCATCTTGGATACTGTTTCCATCTTGAAAATAGGAAGGCTGCTGCGATTCTGATGAATGACTAGTGAAGTTTCCAGGCAAAGAAGTAGCAACTTGGGGAGCATTGGGTATGGGATGGTTGACATAAACTGGTAATGAAACCATCTGCGCCATTGGTTGAGGAAAATAACTAGAGTAACTATGTAATTGGGAGGACTGCTGCTCCTGAAGAGTCCACTTGCTTGCAGCATCATTCAAAAGAGAGCCATTTGCAGAAAAAGTTGAAGAATACCAAGCATCCTGATAACGCCTTCTCCTTGCCGCACTATTTAAAAGTTCTTCTGTGGCCTTAAGTTCTGATTGCAATTCATTGGCTGCTATAGTAGCAGTTTGAAAGGCTACTGTTGAATAATAAGGATTAAGAGTTGGGAAAGATTCTTCCGCAATGCCTCCTCCTCGAGAGTTCGTATCACTTTTTCTTTCATCTTCCAAAGCTTCCGTTTTCTTTTCACCACTCTTTGTAATATCTTCATTTTTACGAACGATACGATTCCCAAGAGAGCTAGAATACTTACAAGCTGAGTCTACCAAGTGCTCTTCATTCTTTACGTGATGACTAGAAAGAGGAGGCAATCCATTACTACTATGATGCTTATAACTTGACGTTTCCCAAGCTGAGTGATCGGAAACTTTGCCTTTGTGAGTAGATTTGCAAAGGTGATAGTCACGAGTCTTTGAAGCATAGTCACGAGACGGATACAGAAAAATTCCTCGATCAGTAAGGACTTCAGCGGATGGTACTCTAGAGATTCTTTTTCCTTCATTTGAACTCCTTTCACATAGGATAGCTAGGTTGTCGTGCGAAGAGCACCTACGACACTTTCTGGAATGTGTACTCCCAGTTTCACTCGTATCTTCTATCTTGGTTGACTCACTTTGTCCTTCGACGTGCCGCTTAGCTTCGGCTTTGGAAACTGATGAACTTGCACCAGTCAATAAGTTTTCTACCCTTAAGGCCGTTGGTTTATCAAGTACTGCACCTGAGTTTACCTTATTGTCACCGTTTTTCACATCCAAAAAAGACTGAGACGTGTTGTTATCGGCAGGTGGTGAATAGTAAAAGTGAGATGGTTGTTGTTCCAATAAAACACTTTCCCCTCGTCTCTCTTGGAAACAAGAGAAGCCGTCTTGTTCTCGACTTTCTGACGGAACGTATGAGTCTTCAAAAAAACCCATAGTAGTTACTATGATAGCTACAAAGATGGACCAAGAAAACTGGAATCAAAAGAATATTCGAAGAATATGCAACAAGAAGACCCCACAGAAGACCGTCGAAGAAGTCTTGCCATAGAGACTGTCCACAAGACCAATTGTTTCTGTAGAAAATTGGACTGGGACATCTCAGAGACAACTATACAAGGACAACAAGGAACGTTCAAGCAGAAAGCACTATGATTGCTTACAAGTTGAGCAAAAACAGTCAAGTAGAGATTATGTAAAAATATTATACCGTAATTTGTGTTGAAACTACTCTTCGTGGTTGTAGAAGTGCAGAAACATATATCGTGTTGTATTAGGGCAAACCCTGTGCCAAGGGGTGTTGTTAGGTTGGGATCACAAGTTATAGTCGATGAACAAATTTTAACAATATTAAAATGTTGTGATATTATTCTTAAAAGAGCAAGTCTTTCGAGATCAACTGATTTCTTAAACAAAGAGGCACTTGAGTAACAAAGTATCACATCTCTGTTGAGCTATAGGTACTTATTGAGAGAGTCTACTATGTGCTCAACTCCTTAGTTAGATATGTCTGTGTATGGCTATAACCTGATGGCAAAGTGACTTTGGAACTCCCAACAAATGTAATATTTGGACTTTATGAGCAACGTACGCCATCTTATCGAAAGAAAAAAATAGAACAAGAATTCTCAAAAGAAGAATAATGTCAAGTACTGTCTTGAAACTTGGCGAATCATGAAGTATCGGCTAGTATGGAATGACTAGATACTTTTCAAAAACATTTCCTTTTATTTATTTCATAAATATGCAAGATCCGTAACATATATAAAAAGCGTTTCTAGTCGGTAATAATAGCAATAATATAATATTCTAGAAGAGCCAAATACTTTCTTAGTAGATATATTGAAGGATCCTACTTTGCACTCGAGTCTTGTATAACATCCATATGGAGACAATAGTATATCATGAGCCTTTTATCCTTGAAAAACTATATCATTCAAGCAGTATCTTAAAAGGCCAAGGTATTTACTCTTTTCTGGTTATCGAGCAATGTCCAAGACTATTTTCTCTACTCTGCATTAGACGGTTCTGAACCACAAAAGTTTTGTAAACTGTTAGCTACTCTTGATTGGAGCATTAAGGCGTGACTATTGTCGATAGCAAGACAAAACGCAACTGGTCAAGGCCAACCAGGACATCCCTATTTGGCAGAAAGTCAATACTGTGGACTATTGGTACCTGTGCTTTCTTTCGAACAAAGTTTTGATGGGATAAATTTGCTTTGGAAAGATAGGAATTTGCTGCAACGACATACCGGAGAATGCGTGTCAAGGACTGTTGTTTATAGTGGAGAACTAGTTGGGTTTGATTGTAGAAAGTGAGTGCTGAATAAACTAAATCCTGCTTCGACTCTCTGCCGTTACAACTCTATATTCTTAGTACAATGATCTTGGAAAGTGCCTTACAAATCTTGAGAAGGCTTTGCAGGATCCAATCATAACGAGAAGATATTGAATCTCCTGTTGAATAACTTTGTTGTAAAGTCCATGAGGTGTTAACTTGGTATATCAACATATGTAAATTCCAAGAATAGCAAAGGTGGTGATACTCAAGAATAGTATTGAATATCTATAAAATAGACAATGAAAGCAACTCAAAAAGGAGAACAGCGGTCTCGAATTGGAGAATTTCTTTGATGTTAACGAAGAAATGGTGTCAGATATGAATCGAGCAAGATCGGTTCTTAGTTTTGGAATCTTTAGCAACCAAAAAGAAGAAGTGGTAGACGCAACTGAGGGCAAAGATGAACTGGCGGGAAGTTTAGAAAATAACTACTCTGGTGCAGTTAAGGAACCTGTTGAAGTTGACCTCTTAGAACTACGAAACATTCGCGATAAACTTGAGTTGTTGCAAGTTGAGAACGATAGAATTTCAAAGGAAACCTTTCTCCAAGTAGTTTTAGACGCTACTGAACACGATAAAAAGGATGCCGAGAGTTTTTTTGAATTGGTAAGCAGCATTCAGAAGTTTTTTGCAGTTGTCTTAATTGGTTTAGTTGGATGTGAGTAACGTTGGAAGCATTTCCTTGCAAAGGTTTATATCAGGCTATTCTCTTTTTTGTCATGTTAGTACAAGTGAAAGAGTTCGTTATCTGTTTTACATGTTTGACGAAGATGTTGATGGTGTGCTCAAGCTCTCTGACTTGGAAGAACTTGAACAATTTATTCACAAGTATATTATGGCCCGAGGATACTCCATAAATAACAAAGCAGATTTAGTATCGGACATATTGCATGCAAGTCTTCCACAGAAACCCGATTCAGACAACTCGAAGGAACAAGGAGTTTCTTTTGAAAACTTCCAGGAACTATCGGAAAGCTCGGCTTTTCTCATTTCATTTCTGAAGTACTTGGAAGAAATGGTCGGTCCTATCAACGGAACTTTAAGAGAGACAAAAGAAGGAGATTTACTGGCAGTGGAATTAGAGAGAATGTCAACAAGTGCTTCTACTAACTGGACAAATAGGGAATTATCTTCCCAAGATAAGAGCAGAGGAACAAAACCTTCTATCAGAAGAACGAAGAGAGATAATTTCTCGTCTCCTTTTGCCATAGATTATGAGAGTCTAACCTTTGTCTGCAAAATCGGCAATGGGAGCTTTGCAGAAGTTTGGGCAGGTCAATGGTTGCATATGCCCGTTGCTATAAAAGTTTTCCGCTCTGTTGAATATGATGAAGCGGATACGAATGCAAATGAATTGAGAATGAAGAATTTTCTTACTGAGGTAGAAACTTTGAGCCAACTGCGCCACCCAAATGTGTTGTTATATATGGGGGCTTGTGTAGATCCCGAGAAACCACTTTGTATAGTTTCTGAACTTTTTAATGGTGGAAGCGTATATGACTACTTACATGGATTATATGCAAAACCTTTTTCGTTGGCCCAAGTGGGTTGTTTTAGAATATTTTCTCACTTTTATTGATTTCAAATAGGCTACTCATGTTGCATTAGGTGTTGCTCGTGGTATGCATTATTTACATTCTTCTATTCCTATTGTACTTCATCGTGACCTGAAATCCAGCAATGTTCTTATCGATAAACACGTCAATCATGTCGTCATTTGTGACTTTGGTCTTAGTATTTTGGCAGATAATCGTTCCCAATCCACAAGGAAGAAATCAAGCAAGGTATTTTTGTTTCAAGCTATTCATAAAGATGCTTAACTCTTTTAGAATTCTATTGGAACTCCATATACTATGGCTCCTGAAGTTATGTTCGGTGAAACTTATCGTTCCTATTCAGATGTTTATTCTTTCAGTATTTTACTGTGGGAAATATTCACTGGTCGCCAGCCATTCAGTGGTCTGAAGCCCATTCAGATGATGTTTCAGGTATCAGAAGGAAAGCGGCCTCCACTTGTTGTTCAAGGAGAAGAGTTTTGTGAGTCTCCAGAGAATCTAGACTCTATTCCTGATGCGCAATTGCTTGTTCCCCGAAGTATTGCCAAGTTGATTCAGAGAGGTTGGAATACGGAACCTGAAAAGCGACCAGCATTTGAGGACATTTTATTGGAGTTGGAACAATTTCAAGCAGAAATCTCTTCTCAAGATGAAAGCAATTTTTCTATTATCAATCAGAAAGATGCAAGTCAATTTGGTTTCCATAATCGAAGCGAAGAAGTTCTTCAGTTGCAGCGATGTATGACTCTAATGAATGCAGTAGCCAAAAACGATACTTCGACAGTGGAACAACATTTAGCAATGTATCCGCAAGATATCAGTTTTGCTGATTATGACCAACGTACTCCACTGCACATTGCAGCTTCAGAGGGTCATATTGATATGGTTCGATTGTTATTGAAAAATGGTGCCAATGCATTTGTTTCAGATCGTTGGCAACGGAGTCCTTTAGATGATGCGGTTTCTAATAAGCACGATAAGGTTGTGGAGTTATTTAACAATGTCTTCAATCTGAAGAAAGAGATTTGGGCCAAGCAACAGACTGTTGCAACTTCCGTCATTTGTTTGGAGTTGATGGATGCTGTATTTGGAGGAGATGTGGAAAGAGTTGCATTGTTATTGGAAGCTGGTGCTCCAGTCAATTATTCTGATTATGATCGACGTACTCCCCTCCACGTTGCAGCTTCAGAAGGACATGTTGAAGTTGTTCGTCTTTTGCTCAAGTACGGAGCCAATACAAACAAAGTAGATCGGTGGGGTTCTACTCCACTAGATGATGCTAAAAGAGGAAACTTTGAAGATTGTGTCCTAATCTTGAAAAGTGCTTCCCCTCTCGGATAGTGGGAATAGTTGATGTCTCGAGTTTGAAAGATATGGGGATTCGATCTTCTCTACAGATACGCAAATAGACACACACACTCATATATATATATATATATATAAACACATATATAATTATATATATCTTGAAAAAGACAGTTATCAACCGTATATAATAAAACAGCACTTGTTCATTGTATTTTGGATGGTTTATTTTATTTCTTCGAATGACCACATATAATAACAGGTAACTTTTGTCTTTTCTGGAAGCGTATGAAAACCACCAGCGATATTTTGTTAACAGAAATCTCACATAGTCTTCCATTATCGAAGGATGCGTTGATATGAAAATTGCACTGTTAACTATCCATGGTTTAGTAAGAGCAGAAAACGTAGAGCTTGGAAGAGACCCAGACACAGGTAAGGAGAGTATTTATTTCTGGGATAGATACTAAAGTAATATGGTTTTATAGGTGGTCAAATAGTATATGTGTTGGAACTGGCAAAGGCGTTGGCTCAGCTTCCAATTGTTGAGTGGGTTCAAGTTTGGACAAAATCGATAAAGGATGACAGAATTTCTCCGGAATATTGTCAAAAAGTAGAACCACTGTTGAAAAACATCCCACTTGAAAGGGCTTGTATTGTGAGAATTCCTTGTATGGGTTCCGAGGATTATATTCCCAAAGAGCTTATGTGGGATCAGTTGGACCTTATGGTGGATGCCATTATACGATATGCAATGCAAGAAAATAAAGTTCCAGACGTAGTTCATTCTCACTATGCGGATGCTGGTTATGTTGCCATAAAAGTATGCAGTGTTCTGCAGTGTATTCATACTCACGTAGGTCACTCATTGGGAAGGACAAAATTGTCCGTATTACAGAGTAGGATCGTTCAATATTTGATAATAACTAAACTGACTTTCTTTTAAAGCTTCAGGAATGAAAATGGAAGAAATAGAAAGTCAATATCAAATGACAAGAAGAATAGAATCCGAAGAATGTTGTCTCGATTATGCATCACTCATTGTCACATCTACTGCAGATGAAATTGAATCACAGTGGGGTTTGTACGATCAAAGGAGAAGAAGTGTATACGTTGTTATTCCTCCGGGAATTGATTTGACAAGATTTCATCCGCCCATTGGAGAAGAATTGTCTGCTGGTGAGCAACCTATGTCTTTGATTATTCCATTCAACTTTCGTCCAGATCATGATTCGCCCTTTATCAGTCGTCATACTTCCCGTTTTCTTACTAATACGGATAAGAAGGTTATACTGATGATATGTCGCCCTGACAAGAAGAAGAACATTGTAACGAGTCAATTATCGCGTCTGTTCATTTGGTTTTTGATTCTGCATTAGGAAAATTTGATTCGAATATATGGCCGCAGTGAATACTTAAGAACCAAAGCAAACCTTGTTCTAATACTAGGTTTGTCTTTCTTGGTTATATATAATAGAAGACTAAGTTATGATCTAAGGGAATCGATCAGATGTCGACACAATGGATATTCATTCGCAGGAGATTCTTTTGAATGTGTTTGTAAGTCGAAGTGAACAAGAAATGTATCGTTTATAGTACTTAATTCCTCAGAAACTAATCGACTTGTATGACCTTTATGGAAATGTTATGTATCCGAAACAACATGAGCAACATGACATACCTGAAATTTATCGTTATGCAGCATCCAGGCAAGTACAACAAAGTTGATCCATATCGTCGTTTTCAAGGTTTGGAAAAAAGAAAAGGAGTTTTTGTAAATATTTCATGGTTTGAACCTTTCGGCTTGACCCTTTTAGAATCTGCTGCGTCAGGGCTTCCTGTTATTGCCACTTGTCGAGGAGGTGCTGCTGAAATTATTCAAATTTTGGGTCATGGAATAACTGTAGATCCAAACAATTCTTCAGAAATTGAAAGAGCTATTCTGTCCATATTAGATGAACCGAGTTCTTGGGAAAACTTTATGCATAATGGTTTGAAGAATTTGTATCGATTTTCGTGGGACTGTCATGCCAATCATTTTTCTCAGTGTTTGCTCTCTTTATTGAATCAAAGGATTGTACAGCCACTGATTTGTGCAAAGACTTGTTCGGGTATGTTGATAATAAGAATGTGAGTTGACATTTCTTCTCAACCGATAAATAGACAAAAAGGTTTTGATTTGTGACTTGGACAATGTCTTGTTGGGTGATTATGCTTCCATGTCCAAATTGCTCTCTATTTTGGATGCTATTCCAAGTAACTTTGTTGATAAGATAGAGCTATGGATTTGTACAGGTCGTAGTATAGAATCTTCTGTTCAGGTATTGTTGCTTTGGGGTGTTTATATTCTTCCAAAGGTTTGTGTATTCCATTGTCATATAAAAAGTCTTTGGTCTCAATCATTTAGGTTATCATTTCTTCGGTTGGTACCGAAATTTACTTTTTGAAGATGGATGAATGTCAGATACCTTGTGTGAAACAATCAAGAGTATTTAATATATCACTTAAATGGAATGCTTCTAAACTTCGAGTTGAATGGCAAGGAGATGTTGTAAGTGAGACTTTGAAACCGGATGGAAGCATCTTGCAAAATTCTGCATCTTCAATAACCTCAGAGGAACTATATTCTTCTTGTTTCTATTTAACATATGAAAAGGATGTAGAATACTTTCAGTTTCTAAGCTGCCGTAAAGACTGGGACAGGCAAAAAATTCTTAGCGTTATCAACAACGAGTGGAATACCTCTATGAGACTTCAAAGCTCTGACAATCAACGTGAATTTAAAATATCCTATGATTTGATATCTAATGTGCAGTATGAACGTAATCTTTGTAGTGTTCTGCAACAGCGTCTGAGACGAAGCGAGCTCTGTTCTTCGATATGGATATCATTAGAGAGACATATTGACATTGTGCCTGCGGGAATTAGCAAGGGCGTCGCTATAAGACGTGCTGCACTTTTACGAGGAGTACTTTTGGAAAATGTATTAGCAAGTATTTCAGTTGGTGCTGATATAGATCTTATACGAGGCAATATTCGGTTGGTGGCTCCAGCCAATCACGATAACTGTGTACAACAATATTTAGAGTCAAGTCCTCCTCCTCAATTATACTTTGCTAAAAGTTCATTTGCAAAAGGGTTTCTTGAAGGTATCTGTCATTTTCGTATTTTCGAAAGCTTTGGGTAAGCAACCTTTTTTTTTCTTGAATGCAGTGAGTGATGATTGAATGTGGTTTAGAGGAGTTATCGCTACGGACGAAGCTAATCTCTCTTGTTTGGTATTTCCTCCAAATATTTCATCGTCCACAAGAGCAAGAAATTGTGATTGATATCTTGTCATAGAATAAACTCAACCTCTTTTTCTTCCTTTATCCAGAACAACCAACCAATTAGGACTGAGCGATATTCAACTTGCGCATATATCTTCGAAGCACTTGGTTTACTTGTACAATATCGCTTCCATACTCGTTCCAAGTCTAGAAGAATACTTATCGAAAACCAACATATATTCAAGATATTCTTACTTCCAGGTCTTTATCTACTTGAACAAGGACTTGATTTATCTTCTGATTGATAACTAGAATGCGCTCTAATAAAACCTATCTCAATAGTGAGTCTACACTATGTATTACATTAGTTGAACAGTCCTACTTGATGAGAAGAACAAGGCTGGGAAGAGTTCATCCTGAAAAGCCCGCTCAACCGAATCAGAAAATTCAATTGGAAATAATAACTGCTAAGATGAAAACTTCCATTATCTGGCTTATGCGATGCAATGGCAAACTGTAAAATTCTCAGAATATGCCATTAGATAAACCAAAGTTTGAAACTTGTCAATCTACTCTTGAAACACCACCCATGGATTCTAAAATACAGTCCAGCATAAAGGACCTAGAAGACCATTTAGACAATCTCTGATAATGTCTTTCTGAATATGCTAAAATAGCTTGTAGCACTTCTTTTGTACCGGGAATGGATGATATATTATGAAACGAATGGCTGGTCAATAAACAATTCAAAACATGTTGAGCGAGCAAAAATTGATTTACGTTGGTATTCCAATCTCGACAATAACAAAGTAAACGATATATCTGCGAAGGATTCAAAGATTTTAAAAATGGAGTTAACATATCATCCAGATGATCTGTTTCCGTAGAAATACTCCAAATCATCTGTGATATGAGTAAAACTGAATGACAATCGAGAAACAATAAATACCTCCATCAGCTTAGATGGCTGATCTAACTCTAAAGGACATTGAAAACACCGTCTGCCATTCCTTTCTTTTCATGGCGTTTTCTAAGTCTTGTTGTTTCAAAATCCAATCCTTTTTGGATTCCATTTCTTCCATTTCCTTTTCCAGCGTAATATCCTTCCAAAATAGTATTCTACCATCTGCACCTCCACTGGCAATGAGTTCACCATCCAAGATGCAGGTCAAACACCATAATCTATCATCATGAGCCTCCATAGTACTTATGCATTCACCACTTTTTACATTCCAAATCTAAACAAATTATCAAAAGACAAAATGTTTCTATTCATAACTTCCTACCTTCAGTAAGCCATCAGAACCCCCAGAAGCCAACTCTGACCCTGCTTGAAGAAACAAGACTCGTAATAAAGAACTTGAAGAACCTTCCAAAAGTTGTAGACATGCACCATCTCTAGCACTCCATATGCGAATTGTACAGTCTCCAGAACTCGTGGCGAAAATACGATCCACAGGAGAAAAACTAACATGCCAAACTCCTCGTTTGTGTCCTATACAAGTGGCTATTGGTTTACCGTCTCTACTAGACCACATTCTCGCTGTTTTATCTTGAGAAGTTGACACAATTATATCAAAATCTGGAGATATGGCCACACAATTGATATCCTTTTGATGCGCTGAAACAGTCCAACTAGCACTAAGTTGTCTTATCTCGCCATTCCAATTGGTATTGAATTTCCACAATTTTAAGGTATGATCAGCTGCACCACTAACAATGAAACTATCTGTGTGATTCGTACGAGCTATACTTACGGCCCCAATCGGTCCGTCATGGCCTAAAGCGATGGCAAAACATCCCAATGTTTCTAATTTGTCCGACTCAAAAAGAGCATCCAAGTCGTTCAACTTGTATAATCTACAAGTTTTATCTCTAGAAGCAGTAACAAGTACTTGGGTTAAAGGATCATAGTCCAGAGAAAGAACACTCTCTGTATGCCCTGTGAGAACAATTGACTTATAGTCTAGATTGCCATCAAATATATAAACATCTTCACTATTGCTAGCTACAGCAATTCGTTTGCTTTCTGATAAGAAGCAGATATCATAAACTTCATCCAAATTTCCAACGACAGATGTTGTAATTTCCATTTTTGTGGTATCCACAACATGTAGCATATCATTTTCCATTCCCACAAAAAGATAAACTTGAGATGATAGCGAAACATAAATGGATTCTACTGCGCCATACAACTCACTCAACAGTAGCTCCTTTGACTTGTAAATTTTAGGTTGCTCTTGCATAGAAAACCTCCAAAAGGTCAAACGTCCTGATATGCTACTCGTTGTAAATATCTGGAAATCCGTTTGCTCATTCATGATAGGTAGTGCAGTTATTGTGGTGATGCTATTATCGACAGAAATATGTTTCATAGCTGTCATATCAGTGGTCCGAAACAAATGAAGCGTATTGTCATAAACACTAAATACGACAAAGTTCCCATTGGAAAGAAAATCAAAAGAAACAATAGCACCCTGATTGCACTGAAAGGTTTTCGAAAAGTTTCGAGTGGGCAAATCATAAACCAATAAGCGACCATCATCTAAAGATAAAAAGAGCTCTAATTGGCCAACTCTAGGATGAAAAGCTGTCTTCGTGATTGCTGCTCCTGTTTTCAAACTGTGAGTGATATGCCCTTCTTCAACATCCCATATCTTAACTTTTCCATCAGTGGTTGCCGTGACGAGGAAAGTGTCACTGAAATCAAAGGCGAGCTGTACAATGATGTTTCCAGCTATAGGTTTCCAAGAACGTTCTTGTCGAATAACAGGCAGTTGGTCCAACAAGGAAGTTCTCGACTCCAAACTAGACCTGCGGAATTCATTTGGGACAGAATATAAGGCAACAAGACTGCTTCTGTATGCAACAGCAACCTTTGAACCTGAGTGAGATACACAAACAGAAGAAATTACATCATTTTGTTCAGCAAAACAAGCAACGGGAACAAGGACTTGATTGCCATTCCAGCGAACTAGAAAAGCTTGAGTTGTTACAGTAGTCACCAAAGTCGGATAAAGAACTTCACGACTATCTTCTTCAAATGTGTATACAGAAGAAACAGAAATTCCTCTACTTATATAAGTAGGTTGCAACGCATCGCGTCGGGTGAATAACTTCCTTATGTGAAGCTTAGTAGGCCGTGGCTTGGATAGTTGAGAATCCATAGCCCAAATAGCATTGGCGATCTCTTCACGTCGTCGGCTCTACAAGTTGTCGTTGACCGTTCCCAGACGCCATAAATAAAACTATCGTCAAGGTTGAGTCCCAGTTTCACTGTTCAAGTAGTTTGTTTCTTGAACCATGTGATTTCGGGAATAGTCGGACGAACAAAGTTAATAGTCATCCTAGCGCGTTGGATACAACACTCTTCTAGTTTGGCAACTTTGAGTTTTAGATATTGTTTCCTATCTGGATAAATACTTTGTAAGCGCAGAACATACTTTTATTTGGAACAGTATTTTGTTCTTAGGTTCAATCTAATAACTCTTCTGTTGAAATTTTTCTCAGCTATAACTATCTCGAAGTCTGGAATAGCACGACACCCTTAGCACATTTCAGAAAATAAATATCTATCTTGAAAAGTTATGTAGAGACAAGTTAAGTTTCTGATGAGCAGCTATTTTTTGAACGATAAGACGCCTTGTTAGTAAGACGTCTAAACTGGGAAGTGTTTCTGATTAAATACGTAAAACACTGCTAGCTTACTCTTGGAAGATCTTGCACAGTTTAAGAAAGAAACAAGCAATCACTTCTTTCATTATCCAAATAATACTCAAATGAATCAGGTTGATGTAAGGCATTTTTATTTATCGGTATTTATCAAATTGGAAAGATTTCATCTTTTACTCGAAAGATTGGCTAAGCCACTCTACCTTCCATCGTTGGAGCCAAACCTTATTGATACCAACTCGTGAGAATACAAATATTTCTCCTCCTTCTACTGCTCAATCAAACGCAACTAGGAAAATAAGTGTTGAATGGTGAAGGAAATACCTGTAAGTGACTCGAATTTTTATCTGGACCGTTTTCGAGAAGTTATTGCTATTCCTTTTGTTGCTGGAGTATTTAGCGGTCTCGTTAGTGCCTATTTCGCAAAAAGAAAAAAAAAGGTGGAACCAAATCTTCAGCAACCGTAAATAAAGTCAAAACATTTTTAGGCGATATTCATTTGCACTTGATAAAATTTGTCGTTTTGTTAAGGTTGGGAATGGTTTCATCGAGGCAGCTATGGAAACATGAGAACCGACTCTTCTCTTTGCCTAACTTGTAAATATAGTACATTTCACTCAGCTGAATCCTTTATAGCTTTTATTAGCCAACCGCAGTGCTCAAATAAGTTGTCGAATACTAGTCTTTTTCCTTCGTTCTACAACACCACAGTTGTTGGGCGGGTTTCAAAGAGAGTGAAAAGCAGACGTTGTCTTTTGCGTTGTCAAGTTCCAGAAAAGAAAGAGAAACAAAAACAAATTCTTAATGAGTTATGGAAACTAGGCTGGTCGCTCGGGAAGTTTTTTATCAACGTCAACAGCTCAAGTAAATTTGTGCAAGATTCAGTTGGAACAGAGCTTGATAGGATACCAAGAGGTGGAAAGCAAGAAAAAGACACCATTCAGTCGGCTCAAAAGAAAACCTTGGAAGAGTTAGAAAGCCAACCATTTTTGCAACTGACCTCGACCCCAACAACAACCGTGTTTGATATGCAAACTCTGGAGATAGTGTCGCTGGCTCTGAACAATTCAAAGTAAGTATGAGTTCTTTACCTTGTGAGGTTTGTGAATGCTCTATCAAAGGACCATCTCCAGAAAAGGTATCGATAGCGTTTTGCCGTATGAAATACAACGTGTTCTGTTCGACGCTTTTTGCAAAGGCTCTTCAGTACCATCGAAAACTTCACATCTGGAAAAAGTCGGTAAAGCAACACGTTCCAGTGGTAATTTCGATAACAGAATTGCAAACAGTACGCTGAATTACTTTACTGGTTCAAATATTATCGAAGATAGCAGTAGCAGTGGAAGTAAGTTAGAAACAGAAAACTCAGCGAAGTTGACCGATACGGAAAATATGAACATTGATGTTCATCGCAAGTCAGATAATGCTCCCAAAGAGAAACTACACATTGCGAAGGACTACACGAATGCTGAAACTCTAGCTAGTAATATGACGAATGCAGAATATACTGTGTCGTTGAAAAGTGATCAACCGGAATCAAAATTGAAGGAAAACGTCAAAAGTCGCTATCCAGAAAGTCTTTTCGACTCTTCGTTGCGTTTCTTTTCAAATTTAGCTAATTTATGGAATCCATTTTTGAAAGGAGAGAATGCTCGAAATTCAATGAATTCCAGTGAAATAGAGCAGCTTGATAGTGTGGATAGCCAATCCATAGCCAACGAAAACAGGACAGAATCAGCGGAAACGAAACGCTTGATTGAAAATGTTCCAAAGAATGATCTCAAAAACAAAGGTGGGTGTATATATATTTAAATGAGAGATAGCTTCACTTAATGGATTTGTTCGTGTAGGCGAGTCGACTTATGATCTTATAAGAGCCGCAAATGATCTGCGTTGGAAAGAAGATGCAGCAAAATTTTTGGACAAGGATAAAATTAATCAGCTTGTTCGTGCCTTAACTGAAGATTCGGAAGAAATACAAGCAGATGCTGCTACTGCTTTGGCAAATTTAGCGGCGATTCTTCCTGCCACCAGAAGCCTTATGTTGGAGTTTAATGATAATCAAATTTGTCAGTTCTCGAAAAGTATAATCTGTGAAGGTGCGACACGAAGTGCCCTACGTTTCAGATGGAAGAGACCTTATCGATCGTCTTTGCATCAAACTGGGCGACAGATCGAAGTGAAAATGTCGATTCTTCATTTAATTGGCTCTTTAGCTCTTTGCTTCGAACCAGAAGGTAGAAAATGGAGGAAACAGGTAGGAGTTTTTCGTTGCAAAGGAAGGTTTGTTGAATATATTGTAAGGCCTGTGAGGATAAAGAATTTGTTGCTGCTTTGAAACGATTCAGTCGAGGTGCTAGTGGAGGATATTCAGAAGGAGTTGCAAGATGTGCCAGAAGAGCTTTAGCTTGTTTAGGTTTGTAAAAATTTTTTCAGAAAATGGAAATTTTTTGAAAATTTCAAAGGCATCAATATTTGGAGTCCACGAGTTCCTGGACAGCGTGGTATTAGAGTCTTATCCTTTGATGGAGGTGGAACTCGAGCTATTATGACTTTTGAGATTTTAAAATACCTGAAACGCATTACTGGATGTGAAATTCACGAACTGTGAGTGTTCATTCATTGAAATGGTTCTTGAATTTTGAAATTTTTAGTTTCGATGTGATTGGTGGCACGAGTACCGGTGGTATTATTGCAGTGACCTTGGGCCTAAGAAAGCGACCAATTGAGGAAGTAGAAGCTTTATACAGAGAGTTGATTGGAAAAATTTTTACCAAGACACCTGTAAGTTTTTGTCTAAATGTTAGGGGGAGGTTTCATTTTGTTGTTTGTTAGGTCAACACTCCGAAACTTCTCATAACTAGGTCTTACTATGATGCATCCATCTTAGAGAGCATTTTGAAGCGAGAAGCAGGAAAGTCATTGTTCATTGATAGTGTGACGGAAGATAATGCCAATAAGGTGAGTTTTGAAGCATCCTTAAGTCAGAAAGTATGAACTAGTTAATTCTGTTAAAGGTTTTTGTTGTCAGCTCCATAGTTTCTCGAAAGCCTCATGTAATACATTTATTTCGTAACTACACTTTTATGGAAGGAAAGGAGAGTAGATACGAAGGTTCTGTAGAGGCTCAACTGTGGGAAGGTTTGCGGGCTTCGAGTGCAGCACCAACTTATTTTAGTGAAGTAGGATTATGAATTTTAGTTTTGCAAATACTTATTTATGACTATTTATAGATGAGAATCAATGGGGAACTGTATGCTGATGGTGCTTTGGTCGCCAATAATCCTACAGGAGTAGCAATCCACGAAACTAAGAAGCTGTTTCCAAATGTTCCACTTGAACTTGTCGTATGATGAACGTGCATTCAATTTTTATTTTCCTTGTTTTAACCTGTCGTTGTTAGGTATCCATTGGAACTGGAAGATTGACTGGATCAGAGTTACCCGAAGCAACACGTAGAAAGGAGTCGAGTCTTGGCTGGAATGATATCATTACTTATTTAATCAACTCAGCGACCTCTACAGAAAGTGTAAGTTGTGAGTTATTTATCTTTTTGGCTGTACAGAGTCTCTTTTATATAGATTCATGAGAGTTTAGAAGATTTACTTCCATCAGATAGATATTTTCGGTTGAACCCTGTGACGGACTCCATAGATATTGATGAAGTAAGGCCTGGTAAACTTGCAAAGATGACAGAGCTTGCCCAGCAATATATTCGGGAAAATGAAGATAGGTAAGACAAGAATGCATTCCCCTTTATTTGAGGTTGACATAGCGTAGATTGGAATTGTTAGGTGAACTATTGAGACCGAAACCTGCAAAGGCTCTTCATGAATTGTTGTTGTAAGTAGTTTTTGAATGGATTGTTTTGTTGGAGTTTAACTGCTTTTAGTGACTTGTTCCGAGTCCGTGGCTTTTATGTGGATTCGTTCTATCAGATTGGAGATGATTGGTATTTCCCTGAGAATTTTTGAAAAGAAAAATGCCGATGGAATGAGTTTGGGGGCCAATTCATATTTGTTGTACATGTTGTGGTGGTTTGCTCTAGCAGTTTTTAGTTTCCTAATAATAGTCTATTTATACTTGAAGGACTCTCGTAGGCCATCTTTTGTTGCTTCGGCAGCTCACGCTTATACTTTTATTGATCCAGCAGACCCGAGTAAAACTTATCCTTTCCCTTCTTTATTTTCACCCGCAGAAAAGTCACTCTCAGTTATTGTTCCTGCATATAATGAAGAGAAAAGACTCCCCAAAATGCTCGAAGAAACCATAAAGTCTCTAGAAGCTCGAACAAGAAGAGTTGCCAGTTTTTCTTGGGAAATTATCGTTGTAGATGACGGTAGCCGAGATGATACAGTCGAAGTAGCTTACAAGATTGGGGGGCCTCTCGGGACGGACAGATTTAGAGTATTGAGACTACCTCAAAACAGTGGCAAAGGTGCCGCAGTGAAAAATGGTATGTTAAGCAGTCGTGGCGAACTTTTGTTGATGGCTGATGCAGACGGAGCCACGTACTTTGAGGATTACTTGAAGTTAGAAGGAAAGGTAGGCTCAGCGTATAAGGAGAAACCGCTGATAATCATTGGTTCACGTGCTCAGTTGGAACAAGCTGAACGTTCTTTTGTAAGAAAACTCTTCATGTGGGGCTTCCATTGGTATGTGAACCTTATTGGTGGCGTGACGCATATTCGCGATACTCAATGTGGCTTTAAACTGTTTACAAGAGAAGCAGCTCGACTAGTTTTTCCCAATCAACATCTTTTTCGCTGGGCCTTTGATGTGGAACTTTTATATGTTGCGCAGCAATATTCCATTCCTATTTACGAAGTTCCTGTGAAATGGTCGGAAATTCCCGGTAGTAAACTCAACATTTTGAAGGCAGTCCTGAATATGTCACGAGATTTGTTAATCATGCGCTGCAAATACTGTATAGGGGTGTGGTGCTTGTATAACTATCGAGCAACTGATAAAACTGTCATGAACAGATAGATCTGCGAAGGGGATATTTTTCACAATGAGAGCAAAGTCTCTCTCTCTCTCTCTCTCTCTCTATATATATATATATATATGTGTGTGTGTGTGTGTGTGTGTGTGTGTGTGTTTGGAGCAAGTCTAGAAAGTATTCGATAATATTTCCTGTGAAACTTATCAGAAAACTGAATAGTCATTGTTCCACGTATGCTTGAAAAAATTCTTCATCAGAAGCTCAACAACGAAAAAATATTTTCGGTATTCTTTGGTATCCGATCCTAGTTTGTGACTGAGTGGTTATTCTTCTCCGCTATCAACTCTTCTTTGCTTCGTTTGAGTAGCCACTGACGACCAATATGATAAAGTCCTCTCATCATTAAATAAAACCAGTAAATATTCAAAACATAGATAGACACAAACACCGAACCACCCACAATGCCATCGCAAAAAGCACGATATGTCGATAAATAGTTCAAAATATTCGGATTGGAAAGTAACAAATACTTGTGCAGTTTCAGCTGAACACGACCACAGCTCAAAGAATGGATAACCTACCAACGTATAGGGCATGAAAAGAATTCTGGCGACGAAAAAAGCCAGAGTCATCAACAAACCAGCAACAACATATATTCGTGTATGCTTCAAGTTCTTTTCCCATTTCAGCTTCCCTGTATGCAAAATAACAATAAAGCTATGCCTACCGATTCCGAAAGAAACCAACGCAAGTTTACGAAAGGTGTGGATGCCTCTGTAAGGAACAAGGCAGACGCCCAAAGCATAGCTAAGGGATCTCTTGAACTCTAAAATCAAAGTAAAATAACTGTAGTGTGAAAATAAAAACAGTTGCTCAACCTACCAAACAATAAATTACTGCACTGGTTACCACGATATGATGAATGATGGTCTGAATATTTATCGCTTCATGAACCTCGAACACCAAAACAATCAACAAACTGTCGTAAAAAAAGTATCCAAGTATCAATTTCCAAAGTCCACAACTATACAAAATTGTCAAAAACCAAGCAACTTTTACTGGCAATGAGGATACTCACGAGGCTGCACTGTTCGAAAAGACTCCAGTACGATAAAGCTGCTCTTCTCCAAAAACCAATTTTGCAAACAACAAACAACCCACTGTAGCGTTGATGGAAGAAACAACTCTAATGCTGCGTCAGCTTTCGAAGAATAGCTGTTCAAAATATTACCTAGAGGCCCAATCCGAACGGTGAATAAGGTCCAATCTTCTGAAGGGAGCAAAGACCACCCAGGAAAGGCCAAAACAAACAAAAAACAAAAGTATCCACCCATTGAAAGCTAAAAATACTACGGACATAGCAGGCTTTGAATCCACAATTGCTAAAAACTGTTGGAGCCTTTCCAACGGCAACCGCATACCAGACATGCTCTTCAGTCTCACTCGACGTTCAACTCTTCAATAATAATTCTTGTGCATTCTCACAAGTCTGAAGCAATGAAGTGCTTGGTAATGTATTTATATAGCTTTTTAATGTCTTCTGTCGGTTTTTATATACTAGGACATTTATTTTTGAATGAGATTCATTATACGTTAGCTATGAATACTCAACTTGAACCGAGTTTTTCCAACAACATCCGACAACGAAATACTACCTTGTCTATATTGGTAGTTTCCATCGGAGCAAGTCAAAGAAGTCAATCGATGCAAAGAATAACACAAGAATTATCTCATCGAGGACATCGAATAAGAATGATCTATCCAGGAAGGACAGACTCTATTATGAACTCTAGTTGGAATTATAACTTGGAGTGGATTCCTGTGCGAGACGACTTGGTCACAACGACGAAGAACAATAGGGTGGAAACTAAAAATCAAAGAGAAAACGGAATACAAAGTATGAGACCCTCTGACTTCAGACGACCTCGAATCAACAAAACTCCTCAGTTCTCCGAGTCTCCTGTGGACTATACTTTGAGACTATTGTGGCAAGAAAGGTCAGCTTGGAAGACTCTAAATTATTTACCAAAGCATTTATTGTTTCCATTGAGGCACTGTTTATTTGACGTGATATCAAAAGAAATTCAAAAGGATAGACCGGATATGATAGTTGCCGATATGGGAGTGTTTGCTGCTTGGGATATCGCAGATTTGTATGATATTCCTTTATTCTTATTATATTGTGGACCTTTATTTCCGATTTCTTCAGATAGTAGTGGACTGAAAGATATCCTTTTGCCTCCGCCTCTTTCGGGTGGTTCTAGAAATGCAACTTTATTGCAGACTGCATTGTTTGTACTTCAAAAGTGGTTATATGAGTTACACGCAAGTCCTGCATTGCACAAATTGAATAGACTACGTTGGTATCAAGGTCTTGATAGTTATCGAAGTATTCGAGACCTTCTTTGTAGAAAGCATATTTATCTATTTCCTACTACATTTGCTTTTGAAATTCCTCGCTCGTTATCCTCGTATTATTGGCTATCAGGACCCATTGTTTCCCAATGTACAGAATCCTTACCTAATTCTGCTATAGAATTTGCCAAACTCTATTCAGAACAAGTAGTTTTGATCAATTTGGAAGGAGCCTATCTATCGAGAGTTGTCACTTTATCTATCGTCAATGAGCTTCATACTCTTTTGACTGGTTTTTGGTGGATGAATGGTTCTTATGTACAACCTGAACATCTCCCCAATAACTTTTATAGTCTACAAAGGCAACTTTTCGGTTGTGCTCTTTCCAGTTCCATGGTTGGTATTGTAGTCGTTCCTTGTTTATCAGATGTGGTTCAAGAAGTGCTGTATTTTGGAAAACCTGTATTATGTGTAGCAACTGGAGCTGTTCAGCTGGATGTAGCAACACGTTTGACGGAAACGCATGCTGGTGAAAGCATATTCACTTCGGGAATTTCTATTTTAGATGAATTGACAACCAAGTTGCAGGATATGTTTGGTAATCTCGAGTCTTATCATACTGCAGCATTGGAAATATCTTTGAAGATTCGAATGGAAACTTATGGACTGAATTATCTATGTGACTCGATGGAGTCCATTCTATACTTGGAACCTGTCACTTATGAGAATACTAACAGTTGTGTAGATTCATTTATATCAACTTTATTTGGACGTTGTTTATTTTATTTTGCTATTGCTTATGTAGTTTGGTATTTTTTGTTTNGGTTTGCAAAAGTGGCATATCGATGAGTATGTGGATTGGATTTTCTTCAAAAAGGAGAAAGAGAGATGATGAGAGCAAAGATGGGACTGGCTTGGCAAGTTTTCTGTAACTATGCTAGTGATGAACGTTTCTATTTTAAGCGTGCACGTTTATTGGCAACACGCTTGAAACCAAGAATTTTCGAGTTGGATAGACGAAAAGTAGTGGTGACTGATTCTAGTAGACGTTGTATGAAAGGTGCTGGTTTCAATAGGTTTTCTCGATTGCATTGGATACTGGGAACTTTGCCGTGTTATATTTATTACAAAAATAATTTTGAAAGAAGGCATATACTTACCTTGTGTCTGTTGGTTGTTGTCGGGTCACACGTTAGGAAAATGGGGAACTTTGTCCACTCGTTACTAGGTCCTCTTTGGTATAGAGTCACTAGGAAACACGCTTCGTATCATATGCTTGACGTTTCGAGATTGGCCGTGATGGACAAAGAAGGAAATATAGAACCTGCCAATTCACTTTCGAATAGATTCACGACAACTTTTATATCTCCTGACAAACAACTAGTTACTCCACTCAAAGAGTTTCAAGAGGACGTGATTGGCCACTCTGGTTTATTTTTGCATCTTTCTAGTGGTATCTTTCTCAAGTGTATTGTTCTTTACTTGTTGTTGTGGTTAATCTGTGCGTATCTATTGATAGAGAAGGCGGGAGTTGGGCAACGTCAACAAAGAAAAAGTTGGCTATTCGGAAATATTTCAAACAGGAGAAAGCAGGGAGAGACAACGGATTTCAAGCCTTTGGCCAACGACATAGATTCATTGGTTAAAGCTGGCGAATCCTCGAGTTCTTTTCTTCGTCAAACTAATGTTGGAAGAGCAGTTGTGGATTCGATGATGAAAGAATTCATATCACAAACTCGAAAACGCTCTCATGATACAGAGCATTATGATAACCTTGTTATGGTTGATATGAACGAAGAAATGATGCAAAGCGTCATGAATAGGTTAAGAATGGAACTTCAAGTGAATGAGCAAGGGCAACAAGTTGTGGACTCTATAAACAATACGAAGGAACCGCTTTGTAAGGTTTGGTTGAAATCTTGTAGTCAATTGCTATCTGACTCGATTCGCGGTAAATGTTTTGAGAAGATTGTACAGAATGACAAATTGCAACAAATTCTCCTAGTTTCAGAAAGTTGGATGGGAAGAGTAGCGATATTCTTCTTTATATCGGCGCTTTTGCAACAGTTTATCAAAACTGGAAATCTCATGATAGGGACTCCATGGTAAGAGTTTCATGGTGATTATCACATTCTTTGGACATATTATTTTCCTATTATGCAAATAATAAGACGTCTCAGTTCTTTGTAAGAGTAATAAAAAATTTCGTATGGACTAAAGATTCTATAATGAAAGAAAACATCTCAACGTTCCATTCCACGGACTTTTCTGGCTGCTTTGGTTTCTGCACTTGGTTCAGGCTTGGTTCCAATAATCTCATCAATTCTCTTAAGGTAGTTGGAATTGAGCTTTGGAATGATATAAATGGAATGAAAATTCTCTTCCACTTGTTCTACTTTAGTGGCTCCAGTAATGACTGTGGAAACACTAGGATTACAGGCACACCACGCAAGTGCCAACTGAGCAACAGAACAACCTAGTTCTTGTGCCAATGGTTTCAACGCATCAGTCTTTTCCAATTGCCAGATTCGCTCACTAAAAGCTCTCGAATGAAAAAATTTGTATTTCTCCAAGGAAAGACGAGAACCAGCAGGGACTATTTTTCCACTATATTTTCCAGTTAAAATACCCCAAGAAAGAGGAGACCAAACCGTAGTTCCTAAGCCATAATCTCGATAAAGCGGTTGATATTCAATTTCTACACGTCTTCGATGAAACATATTATACTGGGGTTGTTCTGCTATTGGTCTTATGAGGTTGTAAAGGTCAGCAACTCTGCACGCTTCAGTAATCTCTTGAGCTGACCATTCGCTCGTTCCCCAATAAAACGCCATTCCTTGTTCGATCACTATTCCAGTATATCAATTTACGTTATGATTGTGTTCTGTAATAAACGTACCATAATTCAAAGCACGAACAGTTTCTTCGATGGGAGTCAGTGGATCAGGCCTATGACAAAAGACAATATCCACATATTCAAAACCCATTCTTCGAAGAGATGCTCCAAGTCCTTCTATAACGTGCTTTCTAGTGAGACCCTTTGAGTTGACGGAATCCAACTCTCCTTTGGAACCAAAAAATATCTTTGTACTGAAAACCAAGTCTTCTCTTGACCAAATTCCTTCTTGAACACCTCGTTGAAAAGCATATCCCATGATCTTTTCTGCTTCACCTGCAGCATAATTTTCTGCATTATCAAAAAAGTTGCAACCTATCTCGTAGGCTCTTTTCATCAACAAGTAGGCAGTGTCGGCATCGACTTGTTCGCTAAAGGTAACCCAAGAACCAAAAGAAAAACGTGAAACTAACAACCCACTATGACCTAAAGGGTTGTAAATCATATTCTTGGTCTTTACTATATTCACTGGAAACATAGTCTACCAAAGTGATGGCCAAAACTGAAATCTCACACACTTTGTCCAATGATGAACAAGCAATCTATTATTCTATGGGAACATGTTACGTGTTTTGTTTCTGTACAAGTCAAAACTACAAGTCCACAAGAATCAACCATTTCCATAACCACCTCTTTCAGTTCGAAGTAATCGACCAAGCTTTACATAACAGTTTTCAGCAGAAAGGGATGAAATCGGGACAGCTACTTACATCCTCAGCATAGGCAATATAAAATTGGGAAAGTACTCGATTCAGTCGAGAGACATACAATCTTGGCTAAGTAACAAGATGGGTTTCCTTGTAGCATAAAACAAGGTAAATACAAACCTCTGTCACAGTTCCACGATATACACCCGAAGCCATAAGCAAGGAAACAGGCAATGCACCAAATAACAACCAAGTCCAAAAATGGCTACAAAAGTCAAGAATCAAAGGAAAAATATGTAGTTATTCATACTTACAGCATAAGGGAGACACGTTCCTTTGGAAACTTGAAAACGCAGTATATCAACTTGTACGTCTAAAACCAGTTTGAGATAGGATACAAAAGAAAACCTTCCATTACCCAATAGAATAGGTTAATAAAGAGAGGTAATAGTATCAACTATTCAAAACTTAATTAGGATAGGGTTATGTCAAATGCTCAAAATAAACAAACCCAATTCCAACGTCTTAGGCGCTTCATTGCTATAGACTTTTGACGAATAAACCTAAACCATTTTCACAATTTGAGCAGGTTGTTGTCAAACTCAAACTCAACACCTTTCAAAGCTTCGAACATCGGCTAGTTGAGTGAGGGGATCAACTACGTGAACTGCGTGGTCAACTCCAGTTTTTCGCCTCTGCTTGGTACTCGAAGAGGACATCGGAAAAAATAAGAATTCATCAATACTTTTGCTGAAATGTGTTTACTGATGGAATATAAGAGTTTCATACTAAAAATTAGACCAGAGCAACTATGCAGAGAGTACTATAAATAGCCTTTGATACAACATGATACATACGAACTGGTTAGCTATTCAGTCACCAACGCTCCGTGACTCTTAAAACTCCAAGCAATGATCCATCTACTCGTCCGACCTTGTTTCAAGCACGTCCTTCGGACCTCTGTTGTAATATTTTGTTGAATGTATCGTTGTAAAATACCCAAATCCTTTTTTCTACCGACAAGAGAAGTAAACCAGCGAATATTTTGGCTCCATTCTACGCTCTCTCGTGCCATCTGTGAAATGAAACTGACTTCACCTCCACTCGTAACCATTTGCCTTCCATCTCCGGTTTTCACTCTGAAAGGATGACTACTTGACTCACTCATATCTGCAAAAAAAGGAGGATTGCACATAACAAAATGGAAAGTATCTGTTCCTCGCATAACCCCGTGCAATATTTCACCTTGAGAAGCTTTTCTTATTTCAACTTGTGAATCAAGGTTATTATCCTGAATATTTTTCAAGGCACTTTGATAACTTTCTTGGTCTACTTCTGTAGCAGTAAAATAGAACCCCAAAAGTTTGGCTCCTAAAAGTGGATAAACACAACTTGCTCCAGTTCCTATATCTAAACCTCGAATGGGTAGTTGCAAATCACCTTCGAATTTCAAAAGTGTTTCTATCCAACATAGATATTCTAGTCGTGAAGGTATTGCAGGACAAAGATGGCCAGGCGGAATGGACCACCGCAAACCGAACTCGTGTTGGAAAATGGCCTTTGTAAGTGAAATACAGACACTCTCCTTTCTAAAATCCAACCTTCCCTTTCTATAGTATTTAGCCAATTCATCGTCTAAGTGAGCCAGTTTACCAAAATCTGGGCGTCCACCGTTGAAAAACTTGGAAGCATAGGGCATCCCTATTGTGTGAAAGACAGTTGAAATACTTTGCTTCACGATGAGCGGGCACTTGGAAGCAATAGATTTCCTTTTTCATGATTGCATTGGCGTGGTTGGTTGGTGGTGGCTCTAGTTTCACTCCAGTGTTTGACAAAAAGGAAGGCGCTTTGATTTCACCTAGTAGCACTCGACAGAGCCGAACTTTAGCTTGTTGTTCAAGGAAGAAAACTGTCTCATGTCTTTCCCAGTCTTTGCAAAGGGCATCTTCTGCTAGTTTGGACTGGAAAAATTTGGGGTTTAGTTTTATGCCAACTAACTGCTTTGTATGTGCTACATATCAAAACGGTTGTTGGGGCGAACTTGAAATTTCTAAAGAAACCACTATTAGAATTCCCATCGCAGCTACAGTTTTACACTATGGACAGGTACTAACAACTTGAATCATCCTCTTGTTGCTCAATGTAGTTGTTTTCGTTGACAGGCTGCCTTTGAAGGTTTGAAAGCTTTTGCTTGTAAGGATGGTTCCATTCGAATTTTCCGCCCCGAAAAGAATGCAGAACGATTGCAACGATCTGCTTCTAGAATCATGATGCCTTTGGTTCCGAAGGAGATGTTCCTGAATGCCGTGGTTCGAGCAGTACAAGAGAACTGTGAGTATATTCCCCCGTATGGATCTGGTGGTAGTTTATATATTCGTCCATTTCTCTTTGGTTCTGGAGCAAGGGTGGGATTGGGTCCCTCGGATGAGTACACGTTTATTGTCTTTGTTGTACCAGTGGGTGATTACTATAAAGGAGGACTGGCACCTGTAACAGCAGTAGTAACAGAAGACTATGATAGAGCAGCACCCTTAGGAGTAGGTAACGTGAAAGTAGGTGGTAACTATGCTGCAGACTTGCTGCCGTATATGCAGTCGAAAGAAAAAGGTTATCCAGTAAACCTGTATTTGGATCCTGTCGAAAGAAAGTATATCGAAGAATTTGGAACTAGTAACTTTATTGCTATTGGTAACAATAAGAAATCTTTTATAACACCCAATTCCAAGTCTATTTTAAAAAGTATTACCAATCAGTCTTTGATGCAACTTGCACAGGAGGAGTTAGGCCTGCAAGTCGAATATCGCAAGGTTGCTATCGATGAAGTTTCGCATTTTGATGAAGTTGCCGCTTGTGGTACAGCTGTAGTTATAACACCCGTGGGTCGTATTGTATATCAAGGTAGAGTGATGAACATTGGAAATAATCCGGACCAAGTTGGACCCGTATTGAAACAACTGTACGAATTGATGACGAGCATTCAATTTGGACAAATTGCCGATAAGCGTCATTGGATGTATAGGGTAGTCTAAGTAAACGCGCCCTCAAGGAATGATCCAGAAATTTCCAGCCATTTCTGTTTGGGATTTTAAATTGCTGCATAGCTTCTCTTTTCAGATCGCTAAGAAATTGTTGAGATTTTTCAATATGAATTTGGATAATTTGACTGATAAAGCGCAAGAGGCTATTCAAGCATCACACGAGCTCGCGTTGGAGAATGGACACTCACAGTTGACTCCACTCCACTTGGCCGCAGCTTTATTTACAGAAGATCATGGTCTTGCCAGCTCTGTCGCTACTAAAGCAAAAGCTGACCCTGTAAACGTACGTAGAGAGTTGCAGAAAGCTGTTATAAGGCTTCCTTCTCAAGATCCCCCACCAACCACTGTACCACCCTCGCAGTCTTTCCTTAAAGTTATAAGAGATGCACAATCTTTACGTAAGAAGCAGGGTGACACTCATCTGGCAGTGGACCACTTGTTAATAGCTCTTTGTGATGATAAGGACGTTATTGCTTGTTTTTCCTCAGCAGATCTGACAAAGCATGCGCTGGAAGAAGCCGTCAAGAGCGTACGAGGTAATCGAAAGGTTGACTCCAAAGCAGCTGACTCCACTTACGACGCTCTCAATCAATACGCCCAAGATTTTGTAGCACTTGCCGAAGAGGGCAAGCTGGATCCAGTGATAGGTCGGGATGACGAAATAAGAAGGGTGATACGAGTGTTGTGTAGACGTAGAAAGAACAACCCTGTTCTTATTGGAGACCCTGGTGTAGGTAAAACTGCCATTGTGGAAGGTCTTGCCCAACGTATTGTAAGAGGAGATGTTCCAGAGAACTTGAACTGCCGTTTATATGCATTGGATATGGGAGCTTTGGTAGCTGGAGCAAAATATCGAGGTGAATTTGAGGAAAGACTCAAGGCAGTTCTTCGAGAAGTGAAAGAGGGAGAAGGAAAGATTATTCTGTTTATTGATGAGTTACATCTAGTTTTAGGTGCTGGAAAATCAGATGGCGCGATGGATGCAGCTAATTTGTTAAAGCCGATGTTGGCAAGGGGAGAATTACGTTGTATCGGAGCAACTACTTTGGAAGAATATCGAAAATATGTTGAAAAGGATGCAGCATTTGAGAGACGATTTCAACAAGTGTTTGTGAGTGAGCCGAGTGTTCCGGACACTGTCAGTATTCTTAGAGGTTTGAAGGAGCGATATGAAGTGCATCATGGAGTCCGCATTTTAGACTCTGCTCTAGTTGCAGCTGCCAAACTTTCTGCTAGATATATTACCAACCGTTTTTTACCAGACAAGGCTATTGATCTCGTAGATGAAGCTTGTGCAAACGTGAGAATGCAGTTAGATTCCCAACCCGAGGTCATTGATACTCTAGAGCATCGTAAACTTCAGTTAGAAATTGAAATTGCTGCTCTTGAGAAGGAAAAAGATGAAGCCAGTCGTGCAAGATTAGCGGCAGTAAAAGAAGAGTTGGATAATGTCAATGAGAAGTTGAGGCCACTGAAAGCCCGATTTGAGTCTGAAAGAGGGAAGATGAATGAACTGAAAGATATGATGACCAAACTGGATGCATTAAAGATCAAGCTTGCTGATGCTGAACGTCGTCGAGATACTGTTCAAGCAGCAGATTTGAGATATTATGCTATTCCAGAAATAGAGGAAAGGATTCGCTCATTAAAGAATGAAATAGATAAGGAGAAGGAAACTGACGCTATGGAAACCGATGAAGAAAGTGGTAAATTATTATCTGATGTGGTTGGTTATGAACAAATAGCAGATGTTGTTAGTAGATGGACTGGCATTCCTACGACAAAGCTGTCACAGAGTGATGCAGAACGACTTTTATCACTTTCTGCTTCTTTGCATCAAAGAATCATTGGTCAAGATGAGGCAGTGGATGCTGTAGCAGCAGCAGTTCTTAGGTCGAGAGCTGGAGTTTCTCGTCCTACCCAACCATTAGGTTCCTTTTTGTTTTTAGGTCCAACTGGTGTTGGTAAGACAGAGTTGGCAAAAGCATTGGCAGCAGAATTATTTGATGATGAGAAACATGTTGTACGTATTGATTGTTCAGAATATATGGAACAACATTCAGTTTCTCGTCTCATTGGTGCACCTCCTGGTTATGTGGGCTATGAAGAAGGTGGTCAATTAACTGAAGCAGTGTTGAGACGACCTTACAATGTCGTTTTATTTGATGAAGTGGAAAAGGCTCATCGTAATGTAATGAACGTATTGCTTCAAGTGTTGGACGATGGGCGTCTGACAGACAATCAAGGAAGAACCATAGATTTCACCAATACAGTTATTATATTGACAAGTAACTTGGGAGCTCAATTTTTGATGAATATTGGTTCCAAGGGACCGGCAGAACTTTCAGAAGGGTCAGATCACGAGGGAACTCCCGTTGTTTCTATTCCTAAAGAAGCAACTATTGACAATCGAACAAGAGAAGCCGTAATGAGGGAAGTGAAACTGCATTTTCGTCCAGAGTTTCTCAATCGTCTGGATGATATTGTTATCTTTAAGCCTCTTGCTCTAGACGAGTTGAGGCAAATTGTTCGATTGCAGTTAGATCAAGTTGCAAAGAGATTGGAGGAGAGGGATATCACAGTATCTATGGATAATCGTGCTGCCGACTACATTTTACGAGAAGCTTACGACCCAAGTTTTGGTGCACGACCTATTCGTAGATATCTTGAGAAGCATGTTGCAACAGAGCTTAGTATACGGTTGATCAAGGGACTGTTGACTAATCACTCACATGTACAAGTAACACGTGCGACTGAAGGTAGTGGCCTGGCTTTTCAGGTGACTCCCAAGAAGAGAAGTGCCACGGACATGGGAAATGGTTCAGTGTATAATAAGCAAGGTATTGTAGAAGAACCCGATGAAGAAGATATGTAATTATATTTGTGAATAAAAAAATTGGTAAATATTTGATATAAGATGTTCAACAGAATTGTAATGAGAAGCATATTTTGATGGGTACATCGTTGATGTTCTCGGGAAGAGTGATGCTGAACACTTTGTTTCCTCGTTGTTTCTTTAGCTTATCACGTCAGATATGTATCCATCAACATTGTCGTCCTCACTTAGTTTTTCAGTCTTTTGGTTGTTGCAAGAATATGTTGTTGTTTTGTAAGAAGCCCTCGTCGTTGTTTTCACAAGGCGCAACTTTGTGTAGTACAAGCGACAACTCTTCAGAAAATCAATCACAAGAGTCTGTGCTGAAACAACAAATGAATAAACTCCAAGTTGAACACATGGTTTGTGCCGTATTTTTCTTTTTTGTGTCGCCAGGGTCTTATGACTCCTATAGAGTATAGAGTTGAGGGAGCAAGATTTGGACGAGAAATTTATCCGTGGAGGTGGTCCTGGGGGTCAAAGTATCAATAAGACAGAAAGCTGCGTGGTTCTTGTTCATAAACCAACTGGTATTTGGGTGAAATGTCAAGAGTCTAGGTCACAATTCAGGAACAGGCAAATAGCACGTCAGCGGTTGAAGTATTGTCCAACTTGTTTCGAAATAGGTTCATTGTCTGACAATTTGTATAGGGAAAAAATTGACCTTTATTATCGAGGAGAAGAGTCGAAAGTAGCTCAAAAGGTAAACCACTTTACAAATATTTTTGGTTGCTATTTCGAAGTGCTTGCTGTTTCTTATAGATTGCAAAGATAAGGGCGAGGAAAGCCAATCGTCGAAAGAAAGCTATTAAAAAACATTACAAATCTAAAAAAGAGCGAGAACAAAGTGATGAAGAGTCTGTAAAAGACTTGTTTGAACAAGACGATGTGTGGTTCAGTCCGAAAGACTGAATAGCAAAAATCCATTTCAATGTGTTGCACTTCATTTCCGGTTTGGTTATGCCTTTGGTGTGTCCAGGACATAGTCGTGGAATTGTTGAACTAGAATATAGTCCAGTCACTGTCGATGGATATTTTCTTATTAGCGCTTGCTTGGGTAAGTTTCTGAAAAGTAGCCTGGTTGCTTCAATGACTTGTTATAGATGGTTATCCTATGTTGCGGGATGGGGCAACAGGTAATTGGTTGGGAACTTTTACAGGACATAAAGGAGCTGTGTGGACTGCTTCCTTAAACAACACTGCCACTTTAGCAGTTACTGGAGGGGCTGATTTTACTTGTAGGATATGGAACGCTCTCAATGGACTTTGTCTGAGGACATACTCTCTATCGCATATCTGTCGTGCCGCATCGTTTTCTGAGGATAGTACTAAAGTACTTGTCGGAGGCAATATGAAGACTATACATGTTTTTGATTTGACTGGAGGAGAAAAACCAGAGCCTATTTCAGTTTTGGAAGGCCATAAAGGAATCGTTAGATTTGCTCGGTTCTTTGGAAGTGGACATAACTTAATAGTGAGTGGAGGAGATGAACCTTTTCTTATAGTTTGGGATATTCGTTCAGGAAAGCCTATACAAAAGCTAGAATTGGATACCAGTGATATTAAATCTGCACAAATATCCAAGATAGGATCAACTTCGATGTTAAGTGCGGTGGCTGCAAATGGTTTGCAGTTTTGGGATTTGGATCACTTTTGTAAGTTAGACTCCATGATTATTCCACAGGACTCCGAATCAGCTAGTTTAAGTGGAAATCATGTTGTTGTTAGTGGTCGAGATCTGCAAATTAGACTCTATGAAAGGAATACCAAACAATTGCTTAACACTTTTCATGGACATCATGGACCGGTTTGGTGTGTTCGTTTTTCTCCTATGGGTGATAGTTTTGCTTCAGGTTCAGACGATGGAACTATTCGTTTATGGAATGATGAATATTTACATTTGTAATCGTTTCTTCGTTGCTTTGGGAAAGTCGAGCGGCCCGTAAACTATTTTTGGATGGTCTGATGATGGACAACTTTCATCATCGTTCCTCTTTACTAAGACAAAGAAATAAAGCTTTCAAAAAAGGTCAAAGACACGCATCCAAACGAAGTTTGAAAGATGAAAGTAAAGGAAGAGTAGAGTCAATACCTGATACCATCAAAACCAATAAAAGGCTATCCAACAAATTGGAACGTGAAAATAAACAAAAGCAGTTGAGAAAGGCAAAAACTATGTCACTATTGGAAAAGAGGAGAAAAGCGGCTCTCTCGGATGCCCCTGTAATTGTGTTACTTGTTCCGTTTACTGCTTCAGCTAACGCACATGAGTTGCATCAGTGGATTCTAGAGTCACCGGCAGTGACCTCACATAGGTCACTTTTACAGTGGAATGATTACATTTTGCTTAAAGGCACCAGTGACGAAGCCTCTACTCGTTGGAACTTGTTGTCCGTGGATATGGAAGACCTTTCTAGAGTTGTCGATCTATTGAAAATTTCGGATGTCGTGGTTCCTGTATTTTATGCGGATGAGTTGGCTGAAGACTTTACACCCGCAAGTTATTGTTTAGAGGTTTTGAGAACGATGGGTGTTTCTCGTTTGATACCGATAGCCATGTTTCCAGAAAAAAGACGAGACCATGAAGACTTATTGAAACAACATGAAATGAACGCAGTTAGAAAGCACAGAGCGCAATTTCTGGTAGATCAGAGTGTTGCAGAAGAAGTTGAACAAGTACGTCCTATTCCACTAAGTCATCAGGGACAAATTTATCAGTTGATACGAGGAGTAGCAACGAAGACACCTCGAAGACCGAAATGGAGGGAATCACGTTCTTATGTTCTTGGAGACAGTTGTCAGTGGGTGGATAAAAACGTGCTTCAAGTTGTGGGTTATATTCGTGGAAGGCCTTGGTTATGTAAGCAATTGTTATATTTGTCTGGAATAGGAATCTTTCAACCCATCAAAATAACAACAAAGAAGGAGCCTTGTCCTAAAAAGTCAATTCACAAGATTATGGATTGGGAAGACACTGAAAAAGTCATATTGGAAACTATTCCTGGTGATCCATCGTTTGACTCTACAACATCCTTTTATGAAGAAGATATTACCGATAAAGAACCCATTGAAGAGCATATGGATGATGACTATTCCGATTCGATAGAGAATAATGAATATTTATCATTTCCAGAGGAGGAAGATAACCATTTTCAAGAACCCACAGATGCGTATGAGACTTACATCCAGTCAACCACTCATGACGAGCCTAGCAGCGATAATGAAATGGAACTTGTGAATCATGAAGACGACACAGTTATTGACAAAGATGAATTAGAAAAGCTTCGCAATGAAATGAAGGACGAGTTACTATTTCCTGATGAAAGAGATACTCCTCTTGATCAACCCGCAAGAGAACGATTCCGCAAATATCGAGGACTGGATTCTTTGGCCAACTCAGAATGGGATGCAGAACAGGACTTACCACCAGAATACAAACGAATATTCAAATTTCCCAACTTCAATGCCTTTAGAAAGAAGCAGTTGGCATTAGAAAACAAGTTGTTACAACATAATCATAATGGGGATATCATCGAGTCTGGAATGTATGTTGCATTCTATTTGCATGTGGAAGAGAGCGAAAGAGATCATGTTGCTAGTCTTTTTGAACATCTTTGTGGACGTTCTCTTATTGCAGTATGTTTGCATCGCAATGAACATCGATATTCTGTCATTCATTTCCACATCAGACGTACTCTATTCGATTATCATTTACAGAGGGAAGAAGAGGATGGAACACAAACTGACAACTTTGAGTTGCCGACAGATAAGTTACCTTGCAGTGCTTCTTCAGTGGTAAAGTCAAAAGACTTGTTGGAAATTCAATGTGGATTTTTCAAATATCTGGCTAGACCTATCTTTTCAGTAACAGTCAATCATTCCCAAAAACTGAAATATATCAAGTTTCTACCTAATCATCAAACTATTGTTGCCTCCATATATGGACCTTGTGTATATCCTCCAGCTCCTGTACTCGTCATCAAACCGAGTCAAGACCATCTTATTGCACGAGGTTCTATACTTTCCATAGATACGGATCGCATCATTTTGAAACGCATCGTTTTGTCGGGGTTTCCTTATAGAGTATTCAAATCAAGAGCAGTTGTTCGTTATATGTTCTTCAATCGTGAAGATATCCTTTGGTTTCAGCCATATCCACTTTGGACAAAGCGAGGACGCCTAGGAAACATTGAAGAACCTGTTGGTACTCATGGTTATATGAAATGCCGATTCAATGGTCATTTAAAGGCTCAAGATACAGTTTGTTTAAGTATCTATAAAAGAATTTTTCCAAAATGGGTGACCAGAGAAGAGTATTGGCAATATCCTTTACACTGAGTTGTTATTTTGGATAAAAGAGGGAGGTGGAAGGAGTGAAATGGGAGTGGTTTTACGATATTTTGGATTGTTACTATCGTTGAAGAGGTCGTCATCTTCTATCTAAAAAACAATTGCTATTCATATAAGGCAACTCCACAAAAAGTTCAAATACCTTCCAAGATGGTCGTCTTTGTGATAGGGTCGGCTTCGTAGCTTTCGTGTTCTTTTTAATGCGATCTATAAGCTCTTCCCTTGTAATAGATTCTGCAGTGGACTCCAGAGTATCCATAACAGTCGTCGAATAATTAGGTGTGGTTTTATCGGTACGGTGTCGCAAATACCTAACTTCATGATAAAGAATTCAATACTTTCCTAGTCATCCATAAATACCTCCATTCTCCAGCCATTCGGTCATAAGAACATTCGATGATCTTTTCATGATGTTCCAAACGTGACTCGGCCCACTTTTTCTTCAAACTGGATGGAAAGAAGACTTCTCGATATCTTACTACTCCACGGTCTCCTTTGTATCCCAAATAGGTGTGAATATTCTACAAAGATGCTGAACAACTATCGAAAAATTTCTTTCAAAACATACTCTCGGATCCTCCTCATTACCTCCATCTACTTCAATAAACAACATAAAATCCACAGAGTTGTACAAAGGATACTTCCATTTGAGTAATGCTGAACAACTCTTTAGTGGATAAGCTAACTGAACAGGAGTAAAAATGAGACCATCGTTTCGATTACAGACACAACCATCGAAACGATGTCCGTTCTCATAAACATAGTCACGATCCTCGTTCTTATATATTCTTGAAAATAATCGATCAATTTCCGTTTTCTCGTAAACATCTTTGATTCTAATTCGCAAACTTCCTGCAGTGGAAGCAGCTAATAAGCGAGGGCGTACAACCCAATCTTCGACTGCCAACATGCGGCTGCGATAATTCTTTTGTCCTATTCGATGGTCTCCTTGTATAGCAACCACATCATATACCAAGTATTCCCAAGTATCGGTAGCCAAATTGACACATAACTCGCCGTCCAACAAGGTTTCGTGATGTTCTTGAACAGTGGAATTCATTGCTTCGTTGGGTAAAGGAAATGGTGGTTTGGGTACGATAGGATAAAATGAATATTTTCGGTCGATGAGAAAAGCATGGTTCTACAGATTGATCATTTCATCAACTGAAACGAAAAAAACTGATACCTCCAAAATCAATAAGAAATAACGAGTACCATCACTTTTTTCTAACAAAACATAGTCGTTGTGACAAATCATATCAATATGACGTCTACTTAAGGTAAGTGGCAAGGTTCCCGGGAAACCGTGTACTTCAGCCACACCAGCAGCTTCACAGCAAAGCTTGGAAACCAACCGAATAAAAGGCTGTGAGGAATCTTTGTCAAGTTCTTTCAATCCGATTTCTGTCATACAAAAACAAGAAACCTAAATGCAAGCGTTGAACCACACAATCATCTATTTTCAGCAACTCCAAAATCGATTGGGTTGAGTAAAGAAAGCATGCGAACTAGTTTGTTCACTTTATGGAAACACGTTTTGCTTCCCAATGTAGAAAGACTGAGCATAAATATTTCTCAAACCGTAAAGATCCAAGATAACAAAATGAATGGGGCTTTTACAAACTATTTCAAGTACAATAGGTTACCATCAGAAAAGGTGGGGCTTTCAGTGTCTTGGCCGGTATGTGCCTAAGTGAAACTGTCGTTGTTGTTGTCTTTCATTCAAAGTTCAGTTTGATATTAGGAAAATTTCCAATGATTGGAGTACCTTGTGGTTTATCAACGAAAGTGGCAAAGTAAGTGTATAGTCAGAATCTTTGGAGACAGAATAAAACAAAGTGTTAGAACTCTGTGGAAAACCCAATAATACAGGATACTCAGTGCCCTTTAGTGGATATGGAACTTGGAAGTGTGCTTAAGAAAAGAAAGAAGAAAATGAATAAACATAAACTAAAACGCAGACGAAAGCGAGACCGTATGAAAACCAAATAAATGTGACTATCATACATTACTTTTACCGAAGGAGTTGTATATCCAACAGAATACTTGTGTACTTATATATGCACAAACGAAGACATATCTATTCACAGAGAAGATTCCACTTCTGTAGGCCTCTTAACAACTAGTTAAAAGTATGCAAAGCGTCATGTTGTATAGAGGATTGGTTGGTCGAAATATTTTCTTGTTGCGACTTTCTCAACTTCAAAATGTACTTCTGATAATGGCTTCGAACCTAACGAAAGAAACAATCACTAGCAAACCATTATCATAAGTTGCTTCTCTTACTTGAGTTGGAGTTCTAGTTCCTAAATACTCAGCAATTGCCTTTAGGTCTGGTTTACCATCCCTTTGGTACTTGGACAGTCCCTCCACAAACCGTTGGTGTTCTTCATGAGTCCAATAGCGCACTTCTCGTTTTTCCTCACTTGATGAATTCTGTCCGCAACTCGGTTCACCTACTGGTTGCTGACTACCTGCAGAAACAACGTTAGGAGCTTCCATATACTTTGGAACAAGTGCTGCTTCTGGTACTCCAAAGTTTTGTCTATTAGTAACTAGCTTTCTGGGAAAATCTACGGAATCGATCGAACCTTGTTGCCAAGTTGTCTGCGCGTAGGGATACCCTGGGTGGCTATATACTTGCTGTGGTCTATCAAGAGATCCTGAAGGAATGCCTTTCTTTTGTGCCGCAAAAACTTGTCTATTTCCTGAAACAGAATAGGACGCAGTTATGGTGCTGAATTGGGCATCTGCTAAAGAAGCCAAGTAAAAAAGGTTCCGTTGTAACCTCTCTTGGTACCTACAAGTATATCTTTGTAAGGCAACTTTTGTTACAAGAAAACGACCTACTTAAGGCAGTCTTGGAATCTGCCCCTATTCTGACAGTCTAAGGCCGCCATAATAAGCTGATGATTCTCTTCCAATAACTTAACCTTGGTTGAGTAACTTGGTTCACTTTCGGGACAAGTTGTACGAATACCTTGTCTACTTTTTCACTTATTGGAGCTCCTTTTTCCAAGTCAATTCTATCTTAAACTCTAACTATGTCTACGTACCATGAGTGTCGTGTAGTCGTTCCATAGTTACTATGAAGTGTTGTGTAGCGGTTGCCACTCTCTTTTTAGGCGCTCTATCGCTTTGTGGACTTTTCCACACACAATAATTGTTGAATTAAAATTGGCTGGCAACACGAGAACATGTCGTTGAACGATAAGGAGTTTAAAAGCTCAACAAGAAACTGGACGCAACCCTTGAATTCAATTGTTTTCGGTTTTGCTGATGAACAAGCTGCTAAATTGCTGAACGAAGAAGGAGCGGATTTGTCGCAGCTGTCTTTTTTGAATCTTGGCGAACTTGAACCTGAAGTAGCCGCACTGCTTAAAGGAGAACAAGCGGAAACGAATGAAAACCAAATAGAAGATTTCTATGGAACACAAGGCAGTTATACTGCACAAGCTGTTCAAGTAGGCGAAGAAGACGTAGGAGAGGATGAACTAGATGTTGAAGATGGTTTTTCTCTCAAACACAACGAAAACCCCCTTGTTTTGGACACAAAAGGAGTTTCCTTGGCTGGAGACGAATATGACTTTGAGTCTGATGAAGATGGTGAGCAAGTCTTCAGGGAGCAGAACGTTTCCTCACCAGGACCCCAGATGGACAAACAAGTCAATCAGGATGAACCAAAAGTCAAGAACAAAAACCTCCAGCAAAAGAAACAATTGTCCAAAACAAAAGTCCTTCCGAAGAAACTCAATTCGAACGACTTTAATGAAAGTGAAAATATTTATCGAAAGGGTTGGGTCAGGTTCTCCGAAATTTTTGACATTCCACAAGAAAAGCAAAGAAAGAGAAAAAAGAGAAGAGAGTTTCTTTTTGGTAGGAAAGACTCACAACATTCTGGAAAGTATGGACGTACGCAAGGTCACTTTGCTGGTACTGTACAGAATATGGATATTGTATCCAAAATAGTGGAAGATGACTTGGAAAACAACAGTTCGTTTCTAAACTGGAATAAGTTGTGGGGTTCGAAGACTGTCTATAACACGCAGGAAACAAAAATGGAACCTTTTCCGGATGATTTACTATCGGACCATTCTGTTTTTGCTGTCGAACTGAGGAATTGGGAAGATGAGATAGATTGGGACTTTTCGACACTTACAAAAGAAAACGATGATAATGACGAAGATGTGGAATGGGAATTAGCGGACGAAGACTCGAACACTGACAAAGTTTTGGTACAAGACGACACAAACCCCATTAACGTTGATTCAAAGGACAAGGTTATGAAAGATTCAGTTGAAGGCGTCAAGGAAACGAAGGACAACAGGGATGGCATTGTTAAGGCTCCTTTAGTGGCTAACCCACTTTTAGACAATTCTTTCTGGTTGGACGACGACCTTTTAAGAGTTTGTGATGCAATTGAAGGCAGCGTTGGTGGGAATGTTTCACTATCACATCTTATTGTGAACTTGAATGATAGCGATATCATATTTGAGTCATGGGAATCGACAAATTCAAAGAAACGTTATGAAAGTGCATCTTCAAACTCGCTGTGGCGTGACGATGCCATATCATTTAACGTTTCCAAAGATGAGTTTTATGATTCTCCAGACAAGTTGATTCGGCACTTTGTGTCTCATGGTATTGGAAAGTTGGAACATGCGTCTTTCTGGAAGCAAGGTGTTTTCTTGCCACGTTTACCTACTGATGTGATGATTGAGCATTTTCATCGCCCTAAACTAGAGATTCCTTCCAATCTCCGGAATACGGTAAGTTGAAGAGTTAGAAGTGAAACTTCTTACGTTTGCATGATAGCCTTTGTCGTTATTCTATCCTTGTGTTGGTCAGGAAGAAATTACCACCAATTCCTTGAACTCGTTTGAAAGTTTTTCAAAATGTGAATTATCACAAAACGTTATTTTATTAGAATATGGTTTGGAACATACTCCTGTTCTTGTACCTTTACCTGGTAAGTAGTTATTATTGTTGTTTACTTTTATGCATCCAACCAATTTTTTTCAGGCATGGCATCAAGATTGGTAAAATATACTCGTCTTAAAACAGGAGACACAAAGACCAAGGAAGACGGTCACTTCTCTACCAACTTCTTTCACAATGTTTATTTAGCTCCAGACGAACCACCACCCTTATGTTCTGGTGATGTAAAACCAGGACAGTCCGTTACTATCCTGGAATCCTCTCTTTTCCTAGCTCCTGCCGAAATATTGACTCCTAGGAAGACTGATTTCCTACTAACTATGAAACGTGTAGATAACAACTCATACTCTTGTTTTATTAGAAAGATTGATCATGTGATAACAGTTGGTCAAACGGAACCTCGAATGAATGTTATGGCACCCAATACTGATCGGTTTCGAAAGTAAGAATCGAAAATCACCATTTTCATTGGTTTTCTTATGAACTCCCTTCTTAGATTTGTCAGAGATCGTGTTTTACTATACGTCGTTCTTGAATGTCTTCGAATTCGTAGGGAAGGCTTGCCATTGGAACTGAGTCGTGCTCAAGTCGACGAAGAGTTTTTCAGACATAGTTTTCCTAGAAGTGCTGTTGAGAGGACAATCAAAGAATTAGCATATTTAGAGAAAGGAGTATTTAAGGTGGTTGAACCGAAAGAAGGATTTGAAGTCCTTCGTGATATGTTACTCAAGAGTGTAACACCGGAAGTGTTGGCATCGTATGAATCTATGGAATATGGATGGTCTATTATTCAACAAGTGGGCATTCATATGTTTACTCATCCCACAGCTCATGTAAGGAATTGAAGATGGCAAGTTTGTGTTGTTGTTCACATGAGACTGTTTAGGGTGATTTAATCAATGCTGGAGAAAAGGCAGGTACTGCTGATGGAAAGGAGGTGGCAGATTATATTAGAAGAAATCTTTACAGAACACCTTGGTATCGAGCAGAAGAAATGATCAAGTTACAGAAGAAGCAACTTCGCGAAATCAATCGCTGCCTTTCTCGCGCGTCAATCGGAAATGACTTGATGAACGAAAAGAATTTGGATTCACGAATTGGTGCAATGACTTATCCTCAACTACGCAGTGCACTCATATTTCATTTTCATATTCCTGGTCGAAAAATTCCAACAAATGTCGATCATGCTAGAGAAATGGTGAGGAGACTAGCTCGTAGGAGAGCAGCCCATGGGTTCAAAGAGAAACACAAGGTATATTCATATAGAAACAAAACGAACAAGAAAGTAACTAACCCTTTTAGGCTATCGTCGAATATCATCGAGCTATCATAGATGGCTTCAAGAGGTTTGAAAGTACTCGAAAACGAGCTGGTTTAGTTCCTATAGAAGATCAAATATTGGCATTAAGAGATGGAAGGTTGGACAGAGTGAACTCCTTTATGGAACGATTTAGGCGCTCTATTCGTTCGGTGCGAAAAGGAGCTATAGCCGCAAGTATTCACTCAGATTCCAAACAAGGTCCTCATTCTGGAGATGATGAAAAGAAGGCTTTAGAAGATTTATCAAAAGAACGTTTCCTGGGACCAAAAAGACTTCCAAACTTACCGGAACAAGTTGCTTTGGTTAGAAAACGGAAGGATCCAGTAACAGGTGAAATCCACAAAGTACGAGAAATAATAACGGATCCTGAACGCATTCAAGAACTGCTAATCAAACGCAAGCAGAGAAGTCGGAACAATAATGTTGGAGAAGATAATCAGAAGGACAATCTAAAGTTGAACGTTTCATTGAAGAAGTTGGCTCGAGGTACAAAGGTCGCAAGATCTGAGAAACGGCAAAGGAATGCAGATCAATCAAAAGCATCAAGAGCTAGCGCTGTACCAGCTCAACGAATTACTTTGAAGTACTCTGGTCAAAATGTTGTCAAACAAGTTAGCGCAAGAAGCTTTCGTGAACCATCAAAAAGGCCTCCAAGAAAGACACCCGTTCAGCATCTTAATGATCTATTCCTACACATCGAACAACGTATGGAAAATGCGAGAGGATATAACGAATCCGTATTTGACCACAATCCACAAATTCGTATCTTCTTAGTTACCGAAGAAACTCCTGAAGACAGAAAGCGTGTTTCCTTGAACCTCGCGAGACCTGAAGATGATAGTATAGGTTAGAATGGAAGTTCTATTGTGTTGCTTTTACCATTTCTTATTCGATAGGATTGGATCTTGTGAATCCTTTGGACCGCACTAAACATAAGGATTATTTCAGAATTGTGGACAAGGAAATGAATCTTTCCACAATTCGGCAAAAGTGCATCGACAGAAAATACAGAGATGTCAAGGAGTTTATTGCGGATATTGATTTGATGTTACATAATGCGGAAGCATTTCATTCAGATAAACCGTCCTATTGGATAATACAACATGTGGAGTTATTGAAACAAGTTGCTGAACAAGAAGTTCACAAATATCAAAACGAATTATCACAAATTTACGATCGAATTCAAAATGGAAGGAAAGGTAAGCAGCAACGCCAAAGGTTTGCAAATGCTGAATGTGGAGTAGCCGAAAAGCGACGTCGACAAAGAAAAGCAGAGTTAGCTCATCGTAAGGCTGCAGAGGAAGCCAGATTTCTACAGAATAGTATGCAGGCGAATAGTTCAGGTGAACCAGCTTCTTATTCCGCAGAAGGTTTAGAGCTAGAACGTAAGACAGAGGAGTTGAATGATAATGAATCTGTACATATGAGTAGCAATCATATTTATGAGGAAGGAGGAAATGAGCAAGAAAGTGGTTGGGAAGAAAGAGAATCATGAGTGTTCATTGGATGGACACTATGGAAAGACGAATCAACAACTATTAGTTTTTCGTCTTGTTTGTAGTCTCAAAGTTAGTGAGAGGAGACGGGTGTATATTAATTCAACTGTATTTGAGACGCCTATATTTTTGTGAGTATCCGTTGTGACAATATCTGTACTACTCTAATGTATGTAAGTTTGTCTTATTTTAAAATCGATGAACTTTTATTGGGTCATTTTGACTCGTTTAGTGTGTTATCAGAACGCGTTATTACTAGTGTACTATAAAGTTGGGTTTCCCCTAAACAACTATGGGTCACAAAGAAACTTGGGCTCTTGTGTGTGGTCGAGTTTTCTAGAATGTTAAGTATTTGGAGCAACTGTCGTCGGTTGATCAGTCTCTCTCTCTCTCTCCAGCCAAGAAGAGATTCCTCTTCGTTGCTGCTGAAAGTCATTGTTGGAATTCATTTCGCTTTACAATCGTTTTTTGATTGTTATTGTAACTTGTCTATGATAGCATAGACTGCGTTTTACTATGTTGTCTTCTATATGGGAACAGCTGTTATCATGGCTAAAAAGGTATAACTATTAAGTTAACTTAATTGTGCTTATTTGAGAATGTTCAGTTTATTCTTTGAACAAGAAATGGAACTAGCAGTATTGGGACTCCAGAATGCTGGTAAAACAACCCTCGTGAATCTCTTCGCAACAGGAACTTTTACGGAAGATAGAATTCCTACAGTCGGTTTCAACTTGCGAAAAGTTAGAAAAGGTGGAGTGACTCTCAAGGTTTGGGATTTGGGAGGACAGCAAAGGTTTCGTTCCATGTGGGAAAGATATTGTCGTGGTGTGAATGTTATTGTATTTGTTCTCGACGCAGTTGATAAGGAACGTTTTCATACCGCCAAATTGGAACTTTTAGAGATCCTGCAGCGACCTTCTTTAGCAAGTAAGTATTGAGCTGTTGGGGGACACAACGCAGGGAATGTTCATCATAAAACCATAATAATAGATATTCCATTGCTATTTTTGGCAAATAAGAGTGATCTTCCTGGAGCACTTGTTAACCCACAAGAAATTATCCAGACATTGTAAGGTACAAGTTATGTAGTTGGGTAGTTGATTGAAGCTTTTGTTTTCTACAGTGACCTAAAATCCATCAAGGATCGAGAAGTCGCGGTATATTCCGTTTCTGTAAGACTAATCATATTGTTTCCAAAGATGCTTATTGATGTCGATGTATAGGCAAAGAATCGAACCAATATAGATACCGTGTTGCGATGGTTGATTGTGCACAACAAAAAACCTGCCAATGTCAACAATCAAATGAGCAACGGCGTATAAATAGAAAAAGAATCAACAATTGCAATAATAAAAATGTCGACATGCGAAAAATGATACGGAAACAAAAATTTTTATTTGTTATGCACCAAATAACGACAAGAAAAGCATCCACTTAAGCAGCTACAGCGCCATGTTTGAAACCAGCAGTTACTTCGGTATAAGAAGGAAGTCCGTGATGGTCACCATAAATGGCTAATGTTGGCTTGGAGGATAACATTCTATCGATTACTCGCTCTAAATCTTCCGTCTTTACTTTGTCCACCATCGATGCAAGTTTGTCGGGTTCTAAATACTGTCCTGAAGTTAAGATTTGTCTTCCCAAATCTTCGCAAACTACTGCTCTACTTTCTAAATTCATCAACAAACTTGATTTGGTCATTTTCTTTGCTCTTTTCACTGCTCTTTCATTCAACGCCTGCTTCATACTCTTCGTTTCCTTCATCAATATCTATCCAACAGTTAGCGACTATTTTCATACATAGTGAAAGCTCACTTCAAGTAATTCTTCAGTTCTTTCAGGATCTGCACTGCAATGGATTCCAAAGAGACCTGAATCTGTATAACAATGGTTGAACGCGGTAGCTGAGATGATCCAAGGATATCCGACCAATAGTGAAGTATATAACCGAGAGTACATTCCCTTTTCTCATTTCATAACCAAAAATAAACGAAGCAAATCATATTGACTTACTTTGCCAGGGCCACCAGCTGAGAAGGAACCTCCTCCACCCAATAAAGTATGAAGAATACATGCAGGAATAAGATCTTTGTCTTTCCAAGGAACTCCATGAAAAGCAATGGCTACTTGTACTGGACCATCTCCAGCTAGCCTTGCCTCTCCTCCCGTATAAATTGCCTTTGGACGAACATACCGCCTAGGAGATGTTTGAATATTTCCAAAAAACTTATCCACCAACTGAACAATCTCTTGATGGTCGACATTGGTTGCAGAAAATATCATTCTATCTGGAGTAAAATGCATTTCCATAAAGGCAGTTAATACATCCGAGTGAATCATTTCCAATTTTCTTTCTTCAGCAACTAGTGGAAGTCCTAAAGAATTGTTCAATCTTCTCAAAAGAAGATATATTATAAAGTTACTAACCCAAAGTACGATAATCATAAGCTGCAGCGTGCAGACTTTCCATCAGCTTGGTTTGAGAGTCAGCTGAGAGATCTTTGACTTCTTTCTCTACTACTTTCTTCTGTTCTTGAATTTCGGCTTCAATAAGGTCTCTCATAGGCTCACTGTCTACGAAGCGAAATCTGGGATACAAGACTGTCTCAGCTATAGCTTCGACAACACCAGGGACTACTTTACGAAGACATTCTGCTGTATAAGATAAAGACTCTCGTGAAGCGGCTGCACCTACAGTTGCTCCAAGTTTCTCCAAGTCTCTAGTCAACATGAAATGTGAACGTTTGGTTGTGGATTTGAAGGCCATGTGCTCCAAGAAGTGCGTTGCTCCAGCTACTTCCGATGTTTCATCTCTGGACCCTGCATCGACATACAATCCCAGAGACGATACGTGGCCGTCCAAATCTTGGCTGATCACACGAATTCCGTTGCCTAATGTTGTCATCAGATGTGGACCCTTTTGTGGGGCGCTTATAGGTTCTGGTTCAGGTATTCCCGGGAAAGGGTCTATTCAAGTTGTTTAGTTTCTTTCTGAAACTATCCTGACGTACTAAAATACCTGTCAGTGGAATTTCGTGATCGAAAAGACCGTGCAAACGCTTCCATAACTTTGGGCCTTGGTGAGAAGGATCTTTTGGAGCCAACGCTTGGACTCTTGAGCTAGGCGAATCTGTTGAAGAGGTACAAAAGTTACATATGGAGTCTATTTTATGACGTAAAAGTGACCTTTGCAAGGAACCGCCCAACGCTCTTGCAACTGACTTGTTCATCCAAATCCTTAAAAAGGACAACCAAAAACAGGAACTTAATCTAATTGGCCAACGATGACTTGTTCCTTTTCTCTCAACTGAGCAGGAGAAGAACCCGGTTTGGAATGCAATCGACGGTTTCTTTCTTTTCTTTCTTTGCTCTTCTTCATCTCAGCTTTCTGCTTCTTCAGTTTATAAATCAATTTGGGTACATGTCGTTGTCTAGCAATCTTACGGACATCGGGTATAAAGCCATATCTTTCCTTCAATTTTTTCTCATAATTCAACTTTTCTTTTTCATTACGTAACAACGGCTTTAATGGGGTACTCGCTTCATTCTTCCAAACCCTTACAATACCGTCATCGGAACCAGAAATAATGAAACGAGAATCTCCTGAATACTGAACAGCAAATACTCTCTGCATCCGCTTAGTGTGATAGACTTCTCTAGAGAGTTTATCTTGGCTACCAAAAATACGTATAGTCTTATCATAAGAACCACTTACAAACTCCTTTCCAGTAGGAGAGTAGTCGACGGACATTACGGCAGAAACATGATCAGAATGTACTTTTAGGGCATGTTTCATATATCTAAGATCAAAAGTGTACAAGTTATTGTCCTCATTGGCAGCTGTAAAAAGATAAGGCTCTATAGGATTCCAAGCTACACTATTACTCTGCATCTTCAATACCAACTTACGGACAGGTATCTCGGAACGAATGTCAAAAAGAGTTAAACCTCGATCAGAACCACACCCAAGTAGCCAATTGGTTTCTACTGAATGAAAACGAATATGATAAACGGTTTCAGTATCCCAACTCAAATGAACATAAGGATTTGAACGTTTCAAATTCCATATATCTACTCCTTCTCCACAAGAGGCAAATACAGGTTCCTTCCAATGACTATCAACACAAGTAACCATACCGCAACTGGAATAACTACGAACAGGTTCCAATGTATCACCAACAGATTGTTCTGCTTTCCAATACTTGATAGTTTTATCATCTCCGCAAGTTAATAATCCGTCACTATCTGAAGATAAAAAACTGATTCCTCTCACAAACCCTTGGTGTGCACTGGTACTCCAAACCTCCCCTCTCCTTCCTAAATGCCATAGGGAAACTTGACCATCTGCACTACCAGAAGCAACTAAAGCAGTGTTGGAACGACTTTTTGCAACTGCATAAATACCCTCAACGTGTCCTTCCAAAGCATACAAAAAAGGCTTGGCAAAAATTCTGTCCAACTTGACAGCGTTGATAGCTCGTTTGTATTCTCGAGCACGTTCAAAAGGATGCAAAACAGGGTCAGGATTGTGAATATTTCTTGAGACTCCTGAACCTGCACCGCCACTTAGGAAAGGATCCCATTCTCTTTCGGACCTCGATAAGGCTTTGACTTTCATTCAACGGCTTTGATCGAAATCATTTATCCACATAGATGTGAGTTTATCAAACTTGTACAAGATAAAGCACTTACCAAAAGTAGAATCCATAGGAGAATTCCATCAAAGATACTATTCATAAAGGATACACTCCATAATTAAAAGACTTGAATGTGACGAAAATGATTTCAAAAGCTAAAATGTTACCAGTAGGGTTTTAACAAACGGAATGGCTCCGAAGGTGCTTCGACATGTACATTTTGGAGTTGGCATAAAAGATTTCCATCTTTGGATAACTTGATGTTAAATAAGAGCATTTGTTGAAGAACGGCAAAATTGTTGAGAACCATGGCAATGACATTATTGGGTAAAAGTGGAGGTTGGTGGTTGGTTTCCAAAGGTTGGTTTCAGAGATATCTTTGTTATCAGGAAAGAAGACTGTTGAGTGGCTTTTTACCTACCAACTATTGGATAGCTTCTTCCCAATACTGTAGGTGTTTTCCGTGGTCGTCGCCTTATTATATTCGAAGAAGTTTTTGGACCTTTACTAGCAAGTTTCCGAATCGTTTCCCAGTTTTATTACCGTTGAAGAAAAGTAAGCTAGGAAGACCATTGATGAGTGCCCATATGTCGAAAGATGTGAAGCAAGAAACTATGTCAATGAGGACAAACAGACTGGCAAATGAGAAATCTCCTTATTTGCTTCAACACGCAAACAATCCTGTCGACTGGTATCCTTGGAGTGAAGAGGCTTTCGGAAAAGCAAAGGAGGAGAACAAGCCCATCTTTTTATCTGTCGGTTACAGCACATGTCACTGGTTTGTTAGTTAACTGTATTCTCTTAGGTTGCTGAACAGTGGTTAGGTGTCACGTCATGGAAAAGGAGAGTTTTGAGAACGAACAGATTGCATCAATACTTAACACGTATTTTGTATCTGTTAAGGTAGACAGAGAAGAGAGACCGGACGTCGACGGTGTTTACATGACATTTGTACAGGCAACTAACGGCAATGGAGGTTGGCCTATGAGCATATTCTTGACTCCTGATCTTGTTCCTTTCGTAGGGACAACCTATTTGCCTCCCGACCGTTTTGCAAGTGCTTTACAACAGATAGCTGAAAAATGGAGAACTTCCAAAGAAGCAATTGAACAAGAAGGCTCTCGTGTATTGAATGCTCTCCAACAATATCTTGACGCTCCTAGAAAGGATGACTCGTTGAATATAACAACTAGTTGTCTTGAACAAGGGTATATGGAAGCAAAAGAAATGTTTGACGAAGAGTATGGTGGCTTCGGCACTGCTCCAAAGTTCCCACGTCCAGTAGTTTATGATTTCTTGTTCACGTTGTATTGGTTTGATGGTGGAAAAACGGAGCGTGCTAAAGACTGTCTCAATATGGCTTTGCAAACATTGAGTAATATGGCAAAAGGTGGAATACACGACCATCTTGGAGGTGGTTTCCATCGATATAGCGTCGACCAATATTGGCATGTTCCACATTTCGAGAAAATGTTGTATGATCAATCTCAGCTTCTTCAGTCTTATTTGGATGCATACCTTATTACAAAGGATGAATCTTTTCGTGATACAGCAATCGATATTTTAAGCTATGTCCTTCGAGATATGACAGATAAGAATACTGGTGCCTTTTTCTCTGCAGAAGATGCAGATTCTTTGGAGCCATTCTCAACAGATTCATCATCTATCAATTCGGAAACTAAAAAAGAAGGTGCGTTCTATACTTGGACTGACTTTGAATGTAAACTGATCCTGGGTCCAACAACTTCAAAGCTCATTTCAGAGCACTTTGATATAAAACCTGAAGGAAATGCACGTCCAGGTTCCGATCCTTTCGGAGAACTTGGTGGAAAGAATGTTCTCTATATCGCCAAAAGTTTAACTGAAGTGAGCAAGTCGATGGGAGTTTCAGAAGCAGAAGCAAATGTTGCCATTCAGGAAGCCAAACAGAAGTTATGGGAGCAACGCAACAGACGTGCAAGACCTCACTTGGATGACAAAATAATCACAAGCTGGAATGCAATGATGATATATAGTCTTGTAAAGGCCTATATAGTACTGGAGGATGAACAATATTTGCAGAAAGCAATGGATGCTGCAACATTTTTAAAGAGTTATATGATAGAAACTACTTCTCAAGAGACAACGCTGATTTATCGCAGCTATCGTGAAGGTCGGTCAGATGTTGAGGGATTTGTGGAAGATTATGCACATACCATCCGAGCATTTCTCAGTGTATTTGAAGCAACAGGAAATGAGGAATGGTTGAAATATGCAATACAATTACAAAATACTCAAGATGCTACCTTTTATGACGAAGTGAATGGAGGTTACTTTTCTACCAGTAGTCAAGCGAAAAATATTCTTCTAAGAAGGAAAGATGACTATGACGGCTCAGAACCATCTCCTTCAGCCGTAAGTGGCTGGAACTTGTTTCGCTTGGGAGCTATTACTGGAGATACTAAATATTATGAGAAATTCAAAAGTACCATCAATGCATTTTCCATACCTGTCAACAAAGCTCCATTTGGTGTACCTGCAATGTTGATAAACTGTTGTTTACTTCTCAAAGAAGCAACTCGTGTAGTATTGGTAGTTGACAATATGAAAGAACCTCGAACTAGAGACCTGGTAAACGCAGTTGTGTCACGTTTCGAACCCAACCGTGTTTTGATTCCCTTGAAACCTGATAACCAGCGTTTCCTTTCTTCCTTATCCACCGAGTTGAAAGCGATGAAGATGATAGAAGATAGTCCTACTGCATATGTCTGTTTTGGAAAAACTTGTAAGAACCCAGTTACATCAAAAGAGGAACTATGTGCCTTGCTGGATTCTGAGAAATAGACCCCCTTGCTGTTTCTGTAAAGACGATTTTTAAAATTAGTAGACAAGACTTTCCATCAGCATGTTTCTTGATGATAAGAGAATGGAACGATGAAAAATGCCTTCATCGAAGTTTCCATTGTGCGCCAAAATTGTTGATTTTTGTGTTGGTTTCCAATGAGTCTTATTTTTGACGAGTATGGCAGGCCGTATATTATACTTCAAGAACAAGAAAGAAAGACACGAATAAAGGGATTAGATGCCATTCGTGTAAGTTAATCTTAAGTTTGTTATGTATCATCGTTGAGTTATCCTAGTCTAATATTACTGCGGCAAGAACACTCGCACGCACGCTCACTACCTCACTTGGACCTAAAGGAATGGACAAAATGCTACAAAGCCAAGACGGAGATGTTACAGTAACTAATGATGGTGCAACTATTCTCAAGGAAATGGACGTTGAAAACCAAGTAGCGAAGTTGATGGTAGAGTTGGCACAGAGTCAAGTAAGATAAAAGTTGCTTCCTTGTACGTGAATACTTATGTCACGTAGGATGACGAAATTGGCGATGGAACTACTGGTGTTGTAGTTTTAGCAGGTGCGCTTCTTGAACAGGCCTTGATCTTACTAGACAGAGGAATCCATCCAACAAAAATTTCCGAAGGTTTTGACAAAGCTTGTGAAGTTTGTTTAGATAAACTTGAGCAAATCTCACAAAAAATAGAGTTTAATGAAAATTCATATGATGATTTGGTGAAAGCTGCTATGACTACGATGAGTTCCAAGGTGGTCAACCGGTATTCGCAACAGCTTGCGGAGATATGCATAAAAGCTATATTTTCTGTTGCAGATTTTGAAAGGAAGGACATCAACTTAGATCTGATCAAAGTTGAAGGTAAAGTGGGTGGCACGTTGGAAGACTCGGTAAGAAATGTACAACCGTCTTTTTCTATCGACTAAAACTTGATAAAGGTATTGGTCAATGGAATTGTTTTAGATAAAGATGTCAGTCATCCGCAAATGCCAAAAGCAGTGGACAACGCCAAGATTTGTATTTTGACTTGTCCTTTTGAGCCTCCAAAGCCAAAAACCAAGCACAAGTTGGATATTGATTCTGTAGAAAAATACAGAGATTTACAAAAGGCTGAACAAGAGTATTTCAGAGATATGGTTCAGCGAGTAAAAGATTCAGGTGCCAATGTAGTTCTATGTCAATGGGGCTTTGATGATGAAGCCAATCATTTGCTGTATCAGAATGGACTTTTGGCCGTACGATGGGTTGGAGGAGTAGAGATTGAGCTAGTCGCTATGGCCACTCATGGTAGAATTATTCCAAGATTTTCGGAAATCTCAGAAAAGAAACTGGGTAGGGCTGGTAAAGTTCGAGAAGTATCTTTAGGTACCACACATGACCACGTCATTTTTATTGAAGATTGTGCAAACAGCAAAGCCGTTACCATTTTTCTTCGTGGTGGTAGTAAAATGGCAGTAGATGAAGCCAAACGTAGTGTGCATGATGCTTTATGTCAGGTCCGTAATCTGATCAGAGACCAACGTATTGTTTATGGAGGGGGCTCTTCGGAAATTGCTTGTAGTCTTGCTGTTTCTGAGTTTGCAGACAAAGTTTCTGGTGTGGAGCAGTATGCAATTCGTTGCTTTGCTGATGCTCTTGATGCCATTCCATCGGCCCTGGCGGACAATTCAGGATTATCGTCGCTTGAGACTTTAGGAGCTTTGAAAGCGGCACAAACAAAACAAAACAACTCCCGCCTTGGTGTCGACTGTTTAGGTCTGGGAACTTTGGATATGAAAGAACAGAATGTCTATGAAACTCTGCTAAGCAAGAAACAACAGATACAGCTCGCTACACAACTCGTTAAGATGATTCTGAAGATTGACGATGTCATTGGGCCTACTGATGCGTTGACTTAAGTTTCTTTAAGAACCGAGTTTTGCATTTTGTTATCGTCTCATTTGTTCCTTGATCCGTATAAATCCTTCGTTTTTATAATTATTTCATCTTTAAATTGCATTAGGATAGATTAGTCAAGTTGTTCTCAACAGTTTTTCACTCATCTTCTTTTTCTGTAGAGAATATGTCTTTCACTATTTCGACGAGTTTCAAGAGTCGTGTAGAATTTTGGTTGAAAAGGTCACCTCAAGAAGCAACTCCTGGAGAACTTGTCGAACTTGCCAACTTGTTGACCGAACTATCGGAAGTAAACGAAATTATTTTCCTATTTTTTGGTTGCTTTGACTTTTTCTAGGCGATACGTCATCACTCTGTTCTTTCTATCATATCTGAGTTGCCACAACTTACCAAGTTTCTTTATCGTATGGTAACAGATCCCAATTTTCGTATCATTTTGGTCACCAAAAGAGTCTCTTTATCCTTTTGTCGCTGTTTACGTATTTTTCTACGTTCTTCTCTTGAAGAAGTTCCCGAAGAAGCTGTTTCGGAACCACGTCGACAAGAAATAAGCTCGAAATCTCGTGATTGGGCGTTGATGGTACTAAGACTAGCTCTTTCACCTCGTTGGTTGGACCATTCAACTAGTCAAGGTGTTGTCCAACCAAAACTTGCAGTTGCTTCATCTGCTCCCAACAGTTATGTTGCAGGTAGTCAATTGGTGCTTGTTCAGAAACAAATGAGAAAAGACTTGATAGATTGCATCGACTATCATGCTTTTCATATAACAAAAAAACAGTCATTTGCTGAACGTTGCTCAGTGTTGTCTTGTCCATACAATGTGGAAACTCATTGGAAGCGATTGAAGGATATTGGTGTGTTCATTCTTAGTATTATTCAGTCGAATGGTGAAGGAGAAGATCACTGGTGTTTTCCTATCATTTATCATTGGCTACTTAGTTGCAGTCATCTCCATTCTCCTCATTCGTGCGGCGAGTTTGGTTCCATTTTACAACTACAAACAAGAGGCTTCAGTTGGGAGCTTAACAAAGGATATACTAGTCGAACCATCTCGTTAAGAATTCCTCAGCCTTGGACAACATTACCTATTCCTATTGCTTATCGATTATTGTTAGAAAATGACGACTTACGCAAAGAGTATTGTGACTGGTTAGAGTCATTGTTGTTGAAACATTTGCTTCTATGCAATATGGTTTTACTAGACAACGATGTTCTAAGTAATGAACACCGTTTTTTGCTTCTTGAAATCATAAAGGAGCCTATTGTAGTATGTTGGATGCGAGGCATATGGTTTGAAAAGATTGAACAGTGTTCGGATAAATGGAAACAAAGAATTCTCATTTCATTTTGGAATGAAATTATTCAACGTTGTCATCCATCTGTAACGTATTCCATGGAGGATATTTTTCAAACTTTTTATTTACAACAAAAGGATCGTGGCATTTCTTCTTCACATGTTGGAGAAATGAATATAGGGATGGAATTCCCTTTTGTAAAGATGATTTCGTTCTCAACTAGAGATGAAGAGATGTTTGTGAGGAGATATTTTTGGGAAAGTATTCGTTCACTGGAAAGTCAGTTCGTGATGGTCTGTTTGAAAATGACTTTTCATTGGCTTTCTGAAGAAGAGTTTTGTTCTTATGTTGCGGTCATATGTCAATGGTGGTGTCTTCCTTGCCTTTCTTATAGTTCTCGGTGTTGGAATACCCATTCTTATCATCTCTTTCGATATATTTGGCATCATTATGTGTCTTGGATACGAGTAATAGACTCAAGTGATCCATCTTGTTGTCCAACTGATGATGAGACAACCTTACCTTATCATAAGAATCATTATGAGACTTCATCTCCTATCTACATGCAAATGATTTTTGTAGATATCCTCTTTCATACGCTATCCTACTTGCATATGGATCATTTCAATTTTCAACTACTTGACCATTTGGATGGATCTATTCTACTCTACATGGAAATCATGGAAGTCATATTGGACTACTGCACCCATCATTCTACAACATTAACGGATACCCGATATCAAAAATTATTTCACTTGTATCAACAAATGGGCAAAGAATACTCGACAAGTAGCAATCCACAAAAACGGAGATATCAACTGTTCTGTCAACACATACTCAATATGAATCACTCTTCTTCTAAGATGGGTGAGAATGATGTTAAGCATCTTCTCCTGTAACCCAGTGTCTTAACGTTAATTGCTCTTCTCTAATGACTCCAGAATGTGATGTCTCCATACTGTGACAAAGACATTCGGCAATCATATGCAGGTGACCTAAATAAATGGCCATTTTGCAGGAATTCATATTGATAAACCCTGCTGAAGTACTCTTTAAGATGGAAATAGCATATCCGAGTCGTTCTCTTAAATGAGACTCCATTTGAAACAATAAACTAGGTTGGATAGCTAACAATGCGAATCGAATGATGATCGAAATCGACTCGCAGTTTCGACTATGTTGACAAAGGTCTTCCATCAAACCAACGAATTCACGTGGTTCAAAGGATTCCTTGAAATGATATTTCACTAAAGTTTGGGGTTCCACATCCCTTATATGAAAACTACTTATTTCATGTTCACTCCAAGTATTTTCACAAAATTGCCATTGACTATTCAACATATCCACTCGATATACTGCTCGTGAAGAAAACTCTTTCATTTCAAATATCAATGGATACACAAACTTTTGAAACTGACCACTCACTCCATCACTTTCAACAAGTTGTATATCAGCACCATAAACCAAATTTTCTTTCAAAAACGATAGCAGAAAGTTTCCAACTTGATGTTTTATCTTTTCCGCTATGGAGTAGAAACCATTTTGTTCTCCTTGGGTATACAAGATAAACAATTTGTAAGCAAAATATTGGGATAATTCCTGGAGAGATGAATCCAGACTTGACAATAACCGCAATTGTAGGGCTATCGAAGTTGCATGTTTCAAGAAAATACTCACAAAATATTCATTCACTAAACAAGTCAGTTGTTTGCAACCTCCACCCAACACAATCCAACAACGATACAATATCCAACAAACTTGACTGATGGTCTTACCAAAAGGGTCCAATAAGATACGAGTCATTACTTGAATGATGTTATCCATCTCCTCGAACCTTCCTCCATAAGGAGAATACGTTATCAAAGGGATACAAGCAGCTATGCAACTTAATACTCGTTTCCAAATGGACAAGATGAAACAAGTTGGTTTTGGAATCTTCTCTTTTACGGAGTCATTGGTCTGCTTCGTATTTGTTATCGTTACCATATGAGACATGAACCTTTCAAAATCTTGAAAGGATGGAATCCATTCTGGCATACCTTTCCAAGTCATACTAGAAGGTGATTCTTTTTCTCCGACAGTTAGCGATATTCTTCGATCAAATAAATACAATAGGCACTGACATAACTTGGACAAGTCAACTTCCGAGGCAATATTTGGATTACATAAAGGACAACAAAGCAGTTGAAAACAATTTCTTATAACAGAAGCTGAAAGTAGGTTGTTGTCTATCACAAGCTTCAGACATCCTGTAGGAAATGTACTTTTTGGGTGAAGCAACTGTAGTAACTTGGTCCAGATGGGGTCTTGAGAGTCTCCTAGTTGAAACTCACCAACAAGATGGTGGTGATGGAGAGACACAAAAAAAGGTTTAGATTCTTCAAAAGAGTCCCCATCATAACTATAGTCTTCATAAGATGCGTTACTTTGCGTTTCTTCTTCCACATCCGTGGGAACCGAGTCAACCAAGGGCTGTTGAAACTGCATCAGTTGTTCAAGAATGGCTCCACTTTCTTTCAGTTTGGACCAAAAGTATGCTTCTTCACCCAGATGGTTGTCCTTTTCTTCTTGAAAAGGGTAAATGGAGGAGAAACATTCCAAAGGCTCACTATCATCGTCATCACTGGAGGAGACATCTACTTGCTTCTCATCTTTTGATTCTTTATGTAGAGAGGAAGAAAGTGACATCGGAGGTGAAGAATGGTATACAATTTGTTCACTCTCATAGATATCCTTATCTCTCTTATCACTATTCATCTTGGACAACAACATCCTCACATCACATTCTTTTCCAACATTTCTATTTATTTTGTATATATGAAAGCCAATCCAGTCCATGTTCCTTCAAGTGCTATTGAAACCAAGTCATCCAATATTCATGTGAGTTTATCAGATCCTGGACCTTTAGAACAGGAGAGTAATAGAGCAGGTCTTCGGGTGATTAGTGTATCCAGAACAGGCAAAGTAGAAACTGAAAGTGTGGGAACGGAAGGAATAAGAGGAGGTAAGACATTTCTTGAAGAGAGAGGGAGAAAAGACAAACTTCACATCGTGGTTAGGTCCCATTACGAGAAGATGTACTTCAGTGGTATGGGAACGACCTCCCAAGACAGTATTGGTAGTTCGTTCCAGAGGTTCTCGACAAGCTGAATTAGCACTTCAACAATTGGTATGGTGGTTAGTAAAGGCTGAACAATTGCAAGTAATTGTGGAGAACGAAGTTGCTAAAAAGTGTCCCCAGTTACCAGCAAAACCTGTGGGTGAAGACTTGAGCCTTTTAGAAAAGGAAGTGGACTTTGTTATTTGTTTGGGTGGCGATGGACTTATTTTACACGTTTGTTCCGCACTGTTTCCAAGAGCAGTTCCTCCAGTTATGTCCTTCAATTTGGGCTCATTGGGTTTTCTCACACCTTTTGATTTTGAACTGTTCAAGCAAGAAGTACATCACATACTTCGTGGAGACAGAAATCAAGTAACTTTACGAATGCGTCTCCAATGTGCCGTTCATAGAGTCACTCCTCAGTCCAATCATTCCGAAGAGACTGAGGACTCTCAAGAATACTTTCAATCTTCAGATGAAGAAGACGTTGAAGACGGAAATATTGAAGAAGGTTGTGGAATTTGTCAAGCAAATGCTTCTTCCAAATATAAAAAAGTTGCTCAACTCCATGTATTAAATGACGTAGTAATCGACCGCGGTCCTGCACCGTTTCTTTCCAATCTATTATGTTATTGTGATGAACATCCGGTTACTCGAATTCAAGCGGACGGAATTATCATTGCAACTCCAACTGGTTCAACTGCTTATTCTTTATCTTCTGGAGGCTCTATGGTTCATCCTGCAGTACCTGGTATATTATTTACTCCTATTTGTCCTCATTCTTTATCTTTCAGGCCAGTCATATTTCCAGACTATGTTACTTTGAGAATAAAAGTTCCACACAGAGCAAGAGGAGATGCTTGGATAAGTTTTGATGGCCGAAAAAGAATGGAATTGTTCAAAGGTGATTCGGTTTGTGTAAGAGTGAGCAAATGGCCAGTGACTACTTTTTGTAAAGTGAATCAAACCAGAGATTGGTTTTCAGCTGTTACTCGTTGTCTTCATTGGAACGACAGGCAAGAACAAAAACCATTTGATTGTAGTTTGGATCGCAAAGCATCTCCCCGAAGAAAAGGCTTAACAGGAAATGTGCCTCCGATAGAAAACAATTGGGAGAATATCGCACAACTTTCATTGAACAGTGAAGAGGAAATTACAAAACATGTCGAAGATTGTGATGAAGACCAGTGCAAAAATGCATTTCGTACTCCTACTTGATAGTTGTATATCAAAAAGGTTAAGTTTTGTGTGTAGAGAAAGGGAACATAAACTATTCAGGCTTTATAGGAGTTTCACTGGGTATCGAGGTTTTTTTCAAAAGAGATAATAAACTGTTTTGTAGCTTTGATACTTTACAAAATAAGCTTTGATATTCAACTTCCAATCTTTTTAGTCGTTGGTCATGTTGAAAATTTTCCATCACATGACCACAACAAGGACAATAACCTTCCAAGGAAGATTCATTGGATAACAACATATCCGTTTCGTCTCGTGGAGTAATGGATGGAAGAGTAGTTGGACTGATGCGTACAGGACTTCCAGATAATAACAAAGTCTGTTGTTTGTTTCTACTAGTAGGGGATAGAACCCAAGGTTGAAATGAGTATTCTCTAGACGACGACGGTAAAGTAACCGAGCCATGTTCCACCAACTTGTCTTCAACAGCTTCTCCAGGAAGATTACTTGTACTGTTAATCGTCAACGGACTGGGTCTTATAGCACGTTGTGGGAAGATCGAATCTTGACGTGGGCGCTTTTCCGTAACATGGAGCCTACTAGATTGGTATAGTTGACTCGTAGCATCACTATTACTTGATTGTTCTACTATTCCTTGTCGTGGCTCGCACGATTTCCGATGACGTTGTTTCTCAGGAGTCGTTTTGGTTTCCAGTGAATCCCAGCTGGGGTCACTTTCCGAAGCTTTCTCGCTAGCAGCTGCTTCGTCTTGCTCCAACTGGGGAGATTCCCTAAAAATATCGTTTTCTGTACAAGGAAGAAGACTGGTATCTATGAGTTCTTGCTCATAAGGTAACCAACCACTTCCTGGTCCAAGTATACTACTACTCGTATGCGTACGCCAATCCACTTGACCGCTCTCTATATCATACGAGTGGAAATGGGTAGTCCCTATCATTGAGTCCAAGTAGAGAGAAGAATGAATGTTGGATGTTGTTTGTTGGAAAAACCTTTCCTCTCGCTTTTTCAAGGACTGTTGTTGTGACGTTTCTGGGTGATCCAGTGGATATTCTTCCTGTGTAAAACTCAACCCATGAAGTCCATCCAATTCATAGTCCTGTAAAAATGGTTCGAAAAGAAAAGGATTTTTGTCTTCCTCGTGAAGGTCGTTGTTGGGAGAGTACAATCGTTTGGATTGCATCTTAAACTCAAAAATAACCAGAGAAACCGCTGAATGATGTAAGACAATATCACCGGTTTTCAAGATATAATTTTCATAGTGTCACAAACAGATGTTTCAAGACAAGTACGAGACTTTTCATGTCCCTTTTACTACGACAAAAATGACCAATAAAGAGGCGGGGAAGGGAACAGAAAAATGCCATCGCTTTAAGCATTCTAGCCCGGTCATTTTTCCTTGATAAGAATTGTGTGGATCGATTGTTACAAGAAAAAAATCGGAAATTTATCACACACTCCATCTTGACGTTGCATTGGTTTGGGGAAAAAATGCTTAATGGGCTTTACCTCCAAAATCTTGTCCACTCCCTCTATTAGCGAACCTAACAATCCAAAGTACACCAGAAAAGTATAGAATATCTTACCAAGTAGGCAAAATTTTCGAAAATGCAAAAAATAAAATGATAGGGCTCTGCTTAATACTGAAATGGTGAGTAATCAAATAAATTTAAAAAATCTTTTATGTTTTGAGTACCTCAGATAATTGCATGTGATTGTTTGAGAAAATATATGTTTCAAGTTTTACTAGACAAGAAGAATTGAAAAATTGATCCTGAAAAAACCAGACAAAAGACGCATTATCTCTTGAACGCACTTGCGGTTACATGTATTCCAATAAACGAATACTCTTTTCCAAAAAATCCAAGTCACAACGCTTAGTAAACACCAATTCAAGGAACGGGTTGTCCTCTTAAGGATATGTTTTATCCTTAAGCATAATCATATGATTGCTTTGTCTTCAAAATAAGCTTCTAAATAAATAAGCTAACCCTAGACTGAGCGAAGAAAGATGATTTGGACAGTTTCCTTCATCGCATACACTGTAATGTCACAGAATTTTAATCATTTTTGTGCCGCGTACGAAGTCGAACCAAAGAATCGGCTCATATTTAATTTTCATACAAATACAATTTGAGATAACATTTGCGAAAACCAAACAATTTTTGATAATAGAATTAAAATTTAATTTTTATACTCTAAAGATAAACAAAATGCTCAGAAGGTCTTATTTTTGAAAATATTTGAGGATCAAACTAGGCAATCTTTTCTGAAAGTATTTAATTTTCCATTTAATTTTTAATGTTTTTTCTGTCAATGTCATTTTTTTAATTTTTTTGCGTAAGAATTTTATTGCCAAATTTCTTTTTTATGGCTTCGAACCTTAGACCATTTTTGTTTTCGGAAAAATCCTTTGTTATTTATTTACATTTAGTCTACTGATACTGTGAGAGGGAATTGTTGTTGGGAGTTTGTTTTTCTTTAGCAGTCTCTTTAAGGCAGGATAGTTTTTGACGTATGTTTTAAAGAATTTGTTTCGTCTTTTTTGGTTTTCTTTCTTATGCACGCCTTTCCTGCCCTTTATCTTTATTCTTGAAGTGAGTTAATCTAGATGTGGAGTTCTCACTGTCAAGCCTTTTTGAAATCGACTGTATCTTATTCTTGAAATTCAATTGTTTATTTAGCATCTTTTTTGCAACTGGTGCTGAAAGCTTTACCTTACAGTTGACATTCATAGATTTCTATTTGGACTCAAGACTAGATCTTACAGGTACACAGACTACTGCAGGATTTTTACAGTAAACTCTACCATCAAAGTTATTGTAATGTCATAATTCATGTTTACAGCACTTTAAGAGGAAGACTTGACATCTCTGTGAAGACGATGAGAGAATAATTTTATAGTAGAAATGGGACAGTCTATTGATTTTTCGTACATGTTTATAGGTTGTTGTTGCAACCGTAGTTGTATTGGTTTTGCTCGTCCCGGTCGCTATGGCTATTTCAAGCCAGCATCTATTGTATTTGGAGGTTTTCGACTGCTCCGTTCGCATCTCAAGCTCAACCTGTGTTGCAGTCTAAAACGAGCAGAACGCTACACTTCGTCAGATTGGAGTCGTTGCTTGCTTTCGCTTCCCAAATCCATTATTTTAAGTCGTATTCGTAGTCATTTATTTTGGACATGTTGTGTTTCGTTTCTTGTTTCTTTATTTGACCACTTTTTTAAGGTTCCTCCTTTCAATCCGATACCTCATACGCTACTTGGAAGTGCCATGGGATTATTGTTGGTTTTTCGAACGAATGCGGCCTATGACCGTTTTTGGGAAGCACGTAAATTGGTAGGTGTATTAGCTGTTCAGTCTCGAGAGATGACTCGTTGTATTCATTCCTACTTCAACGAAGAAAAGTTTCAAGTGATCAAGATTCGTCTTGTCATGCTTCTAAAACTTTTTCTTGTCGCCTTTCTACAACATGTTCAAGGCACAGCGGATGTCGTTTCTTTTCGAAAAATGATTCGTTCCAATCCGGAATACAGTGATTCCTCCTCCCATTTCGTAGATATCTTCGCTGATGAGATTGTACATTCTCCGAATCCTCCCCTCTTTGTGTTATTTCAATTGTCGATGCAAATCAAAGCTGCCTTTAGGGAAACCACCAATGTATCCGATTGGGTTGTACAGCGTGCTAAAATGGAATGGCAGTTGAGTAGTCTAATGGAAGTTTTGTCAGGTTGTGAACGTATTATCACGACTCCCGTTCCACTTGGATATTCAAGACACACCAGTCGATTTCTTTCATTGTGGTGTTTTACTTTTCCGTTGCTTGTTGTATCCCATTTCAAGTTTCTAACCGTTCCTGTCACTGCGTTTGTCTGTTGGTCGCTATTTGCCATTGAAGAAATTGGTCACGTCATAGAAGATCCTTTTTTAGAGGGAACTCAGAAACTTCCCATCAAGTCCATGATATCCTCTTTACTTGCTGATGTGGATTATGTAAACCATCTCCCTGTCTTTTTCTCATGAGAAGAGGAGGTGGTATCGATGGAATTGTTCACACTGGGTGCCTGTCGCCAAGTTGGAAAAAGTTGTTTTGTATTAAAGACATCAGAAGGATTAGTTATGTTAGATTGTGGTCTACATCCTTCGTATCAGGATGATAGAAGATACCCTAACTTTGGTTTAGCTTTTTCTTATGGTCCTTTAAAAGCTGTCTTTATCACACACTGCCATGCCGATCATGTCGGAGCTCTACCTATATTAACCGAGAGATGGGGTTACGATGGCCCTATTTATATGTCTGAGCCTACAAGAAAACTTTCATACTACATATTGGAAGAGTGTGTAGGTAGTTGGGGTGGCGACGATGAATGGACGGATTCCAGTCGCTCCGAGTGGTCGTATACACAACGAGAAGTAGAAAGTTGCTTAACAAAGGTAACGATTATGGAACCTGGACAATCTATTTCGGTCGGTGAAAATGTTCAAGTGCATAGTTGGATGGCTGGACATGTGCTGGGTGCTTACATGTTTAGCATCGTCGTAGACAACCATCGAATATTGTATACAGGTGACTTTACCAGTTGTCCTACTTTTCATTTACCTCCAGCACGGGTTGATGATATTCCCTACCCACCCGACGTTATCTTAAGCGAAGCAACCTACGCCACCAGTTTCAAGGATGGAAGATTGAACAATCAAGTAGAGTTCATTCAGAATGTGTTGGATTGTCTGTTGGATGGTGGCAAAGTGCTTGTACCGGTATTTGCTATTGGTAGGGCGCAAGAGTTGTTGTTATTATTGGGCAAGTAGAGAAGACAAGTTGAATAGGGAAATACTGATGCTTTGTGAATAGAAATGTATTGGCAACGGTTTCATTTATCCTTTCCTATTCTCTTTTCCACCAAAAATGCTCATCAAGTGTTGCAAATATATACTGAGTTTGCTCATTGGACTCGTACGCCATCGACCAGGGATGAACAGATGATGAGTTATCAGACGTGGTGGAGTCGAGTCCAAGTTGTCGATCCAGAACAGTTGCTGGATGCTGTTGAAGAGTGGGATAGACCATTGGTGGCGTTAACTACACCGGGAACATTGGCAAGAGGTTTATCGTTGCAAGTTTTTCGAAGGATTGCACCGGATGAAAAGAATCTGTTGATCATTCCTCATTTTTGTATATCGGGAACGATAGAGAAACGACTGTTGGAGGAAGGATGTTGTGATGAGAACAAGATAACAAATGAAAATGAATCTATTCGTATTCGTTGCAAGGTGAGTTATTGAGAGAATATTTGTTGTGTTTTTGATATGTTTTTGTGGAGCAGACGATGAATTTACACTTTGGTTTTCATGCAGATACGAGAGACTTGTTGTTGTTCTTTTCACAGTGGAAACCAAGTTGCATCGTGCTTGTTCATGGAGAAGGAGAAAAGATGGATTATCTTGCACGAGTTGTACAGGAAGAATGGGGTATACAATGTTGGGTGCCTAAAGAAGAACAATGGATAACATGGAAACCCAATCTCACAAAAAGCCAATAGTTTTCTTTTTCAAACAGATAACAACAAAAAATTACACATGCAATGATAAAAAGATACCAACGAACATTCCACATCGGATCTTAAAATCTTCTTGCACAGGGTCGATGAAACATCTGTGGAGGACCCACTTGAACACATTCGGGTGTTACTGGTGAAACTCCATTTGGAACCCATTCTATAGAAGCAGATAATTCGTGGCGACTCGACCTGTCATCAAGCATAGGATAACCAACATTTCCTGAATACATATTGGGATAAACTCTTTCAAAGCCTGGTGGAGGCTTTTGAGAAATATAATACCTTCCGTTATAAATTAAGTTGTACTCTACAAGATTGGATATTGGCCTCCAAATGAATTCTGAAGGATAATAAAAGGTACCTTTCGCGTTAGTTGTTGAATCATATCTTGTATTCTTTGTTGATCTGAAACTAGAAAAAGCCCCAGAGTTGCTAAAGGATGATGAAGGAGAGGACGGTACAAAGTTATTGGCAACTAATACGTGTGAAGCACTGTTACATGCCCAAGCTTCTGAAATTAGCAGATTCTCCACAAGGAAATATTCCTTTTTGTCCACTGCCAAGGAGAAGTTAAGAGCTTCTAAGAGTTCCAGCTCCAACAAATTCATTTCACCCAATGACACACCACCTACTTTAGCATAATATGCATTATTATAATAAATGTCGTCCAAGTACTTGGCAGCAAGCATCAAACTAGTGATGAGCAAACGATGCACGTTTAAACAAGTCAGCTGATAGGCACGTTCTTTTGCTGCCACTCTTTCCAAATAAACGATAGCAATAATAAAACAAGAACGTGAACAGAAGGCATATTTAAACATGCGCAACAAATAATCCAATACCGATATGGAGGGTGGTCTAATTGCGTGGAAGATAGTTGACAACTTTTCCAATTGAGCATCCTGTCGAAGAAAAAAGGTTAGTTAGTTCACCTGAAGCGTATGAAATACTCACCTGGTTATTGGAGGTCACTCTTTGATTGATGTAGTTGGATATGCAAGTAACTAAAGCTTCTTCGCTCTGGAACAGGTGTTTCCTACCACAGAATCCAGCAGGCTGCCCGTCTTCGAAGCAACAATCTTCCGAAACGCAAGAACAATTTGGCAAAGAGGCATAAGTCATATGATCTTCATACATCAACTGGTTCGTTCCATATATTCCCGACATACTTGGCGCCTTGTATTTTCGCAGTGGTTGAGAATATTGAATAGTCGTGCAAGTGTATACTTACCGCTTGCCAAACACCCCCTGTCCAGTAAGGAGCTGGCATATATTGAACCACTAAGAAATTCTCTCAGTTTCCCGAAAAGCACTCAGGAAAACGCGGAAGAGAACGACTTGCACACTCAGTAACAATGGCGTATTAGGTATAACCATAAACTCTCTTAACAAAATAAAGGATAGTCAAACAGTAGCATTCCGAGAACTCTGAAAAGATTCAGAGTCTATATGTGGTGACTTTCTCTCAACAAAGACGAACTGCAATGGCGCCTTACAACTCTCTCCCTCCGCAATCCAAACGCCCAAAAATAGTCAATAATCAATCAATCAATCAATCATTCTTATCGCATTGCATCTCCGTCCCACTCTTCCCTCGTCGGCGACAAAAGGATTCGATTATCCTTTAATCACTGCAACTGGTCGAAGTTTTACACATTTCTTAGAAATACCAGCTACATGACATGTATCCACTACTTCGGAAACATCCTTATAACTTTCTGGAGCTTCTTCAGTCACCAACTTGGGACTAGCAACTCGAATAGAAATGCCCTTGTTTTTCAAGTTATTTAAAATATCTTGATAGTCTAGTTTCCGTCTAGAACTACTACGAGATTGTGCTCTTCCTGCCCCGTGACAAGTACTTCCAAAGGTTTCCTCCATTCCTTTCTCGGTACCAGTTAAAACATAGCTACAAGTGCCCATAGTACCTCCTACAAGTACAGGCTGTCCCGTTACTTGATAATCTACAGGAATAAGAGGATGATAAGGAGGAAACGCACGGGTTGCCCCTTTACGATGTACTAAAAGTTGAACAGGTTTTCCATCGTACCAATGCTCCTCTATCTTGGCAATATTGTGACTGACATCATATACCAAATGCATATCGAGGTCATCAGCACTCACGTCGAATACTTTTGAAAAGGCTTGTCTCGTTAAAAAAGTCATAGAAGAACGATTAACAAACGCATAATTGGCTGCTGCTGCCATGGCTTCCAAGTAATCTTGGCCAGGCTTCGATTGTATACGAGCACAAGCAAGTTGACGATCATTCAACTTCAAATGGTCCTTTGCCATGGCTTCTTCCATCAACTGCAAGGCATCTGTAGCAACTTGATGTCCCAAACCTCGACTTCCTGAATGAATCATGATACACACTTGTCCTTTTTCCACCAAGCCCATCCTCTTGGCAGCAAAAGTATCATATATTTCATCGACTACTTGTATTTCTGCATAATGGTTACCTGCACCAAGAGTTCCCAACTGTGGAAATCCGCGTTTCCTTGCTCGACTACTCACTTTAGCAGGATTAGCTTGCAACAAACGTCCATATTCTTCACAGTGTTCCTTATCTTCTGCCCATGAATAACCTTCTCTTAATGACCAATCCATACCATATTGAAGTACTTCTTCCAGTTGTTTGGATCCCACAGGTATGACTCCTTTGGAACCTACTCCTACTGGAATGTAGTCAAACAGTGTTTGTGCTAGTAGCTCCTTTTTATCTTGTATATCCTTTTCCAACAAGTTGGTTCGCAACAAACGAACACCACAGTTGATGTCGAAGCCAACTCCACCAGGTGAGACGATTGCTTCAGGGTCATCCATACGGAAGGCTGCGACGTTACCAATGGCAAATCCATAACCAGAGTGTACATCCGGCATGGCTATGGAAGCTTTCACAATACCTGGTAACGAAGCGACGTTGGCGATTTGTTTCACTGCGGGTAGGAAACCACCGGTCATTCCACCTTCACAAAAGTTTTGCAGTTCCGAAAATACTAGCTCTTCAAGTTTACCGTTGACATAGAAAATGCCTGGAACTCGCATATTCTCCACAAACCCTGTTTCTATTTCATAGGTATACGGTCTTATTAAATGGAAGTATTTCTTTTCTTCTTGAAAAGTCCGCTTGGCTTTCATTGCGAAAGATCAAATAGGAAAAATGGAATGATTCTTCCAAACATGTCCTCGCATATTATTCGATTGATTATCCTAGAAAGCAATACAAATATATACATATATATAGATATATAGATATATATATTATGTAGATAGATAGAGAAGTAGCATGAGAGAATTGATAAACATTCAATTACATTGAATTTCCATTTGAAAGAAAGCATAAAAATCATCATATTTGATAAAATTCCCAATAGAAAGAGAAGAGAGAACGAATCACGAATGGAGGAGGCGGATCGCCTGAAATGGAATTGAGCACATGAGGTATCTATCGTGGCGTTACTCTTGAGATATCATGAAAGAATGAACCACTCTATGAACACAATGTCAGACACTATAGAACAGCCAGCCATTGATAGTTGCAAGGGGTATGAAGAAACAGCAACTCACTTGAGAGTATATGGAGAAGAGCATCCTCGAGGTAGTCTTTCCGATACGAATAGTTGCGAAAGTTCTTATAGTTTTCATGAAGAAGTGGAAGGCCTTCTCTTTCAGTCACCGTTATATAATAACTGGCAGGGGAGGAATGAGACTCTTCACTCTAGTTGTACAGAAAATGCGTCGGACTCAAAGGTACGGAGAGAACAGGCCCGTTTAGAGTTTTGGTACACTTCAGGTTATCAAAGTGGCTTTGATTCATACTCTCAAGAAGAAGATTTTTCAAAAAGCTTTTCTGTGGAGAACCATGTAGTATGTCCCGACCTCAACAACGTGGAAATGAAACGACAGTGCTATCCAATGGAAGATTACGATGAAGAAAGCGTGGAAATCAATTTGGGTTCTTCTACATATAATGGTACAGACATATCATCTATTTATAAGTATATGCAACAGAGGGATGAAGCGTCGTTACTGTTGACTAGAGATAGAAACTCGATGTACCCTTCCAATTTTCTATCTTATTCGTTCGCAACCGAAGGACATTCCAATCGTTCCCAGTCAAGTTGCAATAAGGATAATGTAGAGAAAAATTCATTCAAGACGTGCAAGGAGATTGTAAAAGAGGTGCCTTGGACCCAATGCGATGAGTATTTACAAGAGTGTCATGACTTGATGAAAGCGAATCTTATGCAAAGTCATTTGCAGTTGCCAAAAGTAAGCTGTCCATTGAATGCGACAAGAAGAAGAAAAAGAAGAAAATCGAAAGCCTCTCCGAAAGATTTACTGGAACAAGATGCATCCGTGTTGTACAAACCTACGGATTGGTCTCAATATGAGTTGAGTAGTTATCGTATGGCAGCATTAGCACGGTATTATTACAAGAAGCATCGTCGAAATTATGCAAACAAGGTACGCTATGAATGTAGAAAGCGATTGGCTGTTTATCGACCTCGCTTGTATGGTCGTTTTGTTAAAGCATCTTGTAATACATCAAAAAGTGATGAACCCTCACACGATTTAGATAATATGTGATGTTTACCTACTTGAGTGAAGAGAGTTGGGATTCTTCTTCTTGATGCATAAAAAAGATGGACAACGATGGGTTGGTTGCATCCTTTGAAGAAACTTTTGTGGTTTGGATGAGATACATATCTCTATTTATAAGGTATCTGTTGGGAATAGTTTTGTCCATTTGGATATCTGTTGTTTTGGGAATAATAAATATTCATATTTTCCAATTTGAAGTTTATGTCTCTCTACGATACTTTCAATTGGAGAGCCTTTGGAAATATGTTGAAAGTTTAAAAGTATCAATTCCATTGAAGATATTTAAGGATAGTCCGAGATGCTGTGTTCCCCTTTTTGAAATTGTCAAGTACATTCCATAGTCAATCTACAGGTTTCCAATATGGATTGACCAAATATAGAAATCAAGTTGCTTTTCGATCTTTCCAAAAAGAGGCGAAGAACCATTTTTCAGTGACACCACATGGCCCGCCAAATCAAAGGGTAGGAATTGGGAGAGAGGAAGGACTCCACCCTATCATTTATTGTGTGACTACAAAGCGTAATGTCGCAAACTAAGAAAACATATTCTAAGAAACTCAGTAGTGCAGAGACTGCAGTATTGGCATGGTTCTTAATAGATGCTGCAACTCATCTATTTTGTGAGTTGCCTTTTGTCATCCACTCCTTGACCACTACTGTTAATCGCGCAACTCACTGGTCTGCTATATTATGGAAGGTATTGGGTAATGTTGCGATATTAGGTATTGATAACGTTGTTTTCAAGGAATATGCCAAAGCAGATCCACGGGGGGGTAGATTTCATGATTGTACCGTGGCGTTAGAAGTACCTACCTCCATATTGTGGGGTCCCTTATCGTTAGCTTGTGCTTATGGTGTCTATTACAAGAAGCCTTGGAGGTTTTATT